GAGAAAGTTATTCAGCTTTTACTACACATTTCTGAATAAACTATTACGAAGTACAGTTCCGCCCAACAAATTGCAAGCGTTCACCATTTAAGAGAACAAAAACATTTTTTGATCATAATACATTATAATGTTTCAGCACTTAGAAAAAAGTGAATTTCGTTTTTGCTTTCTCAAGATGTTTATACACTGCAATCGTTGACGTAGGCACGGGAGATCTGTTGAGCTGTGTGTATTACTTTTAGGATTAACTATTGATAACCTCTTGATAATGGAAGTGACCACCAGACACTGGTTACCTGTTGTTTGCATCGTGTGAAATAGTGGTTTGCTAGTTCGGGGAATTAAACATTGTTTACTCGGTTGCAATTTTGAATCTTGCACCACCGAATTCGGTCGACATAGCCAAACGATATCACGTTGCCACACATGTCGCTGGAATCGGAGAACATAATCTTGTTATATACTGACTATTCTACCATAGTGAACTGGATTCGAAATGTGAACTGTGTAGTATTTAAGTGGTAAGAGGACTTAACTTTCAGTTAGTCGAAAGTAGGTATTGGCGCCATCATGCACAGTTCAGGGGTTATGAGCTAAGCAATAAGTCATTCATTCACGAATAACTAGATTACTACACTTCAGATAAGAGCTTAGGAAAACACTAATTCCGGCAGGGGAATTATTTGAGCAAGACGATATTAAACTACTTGGAAATTCTCGTTACTTAAAAAAATTATTAGTACTTCAAACTACCAACCAAAAGAGTAGGAATACGTTTGTGAAAATTTTGCCGCGTTTCTTATAGTGTGTTAGCCTCAAATCAATTCAGAAAGTTCAAGAGTTACTGAACAACCAGAGTGCACAAATAATCTTTACGTATATTAAGACTAGTAGTAATAAACAAATGCTTTGAGAAAATCGCTCGTTTTCAGTCAGCCGGTTAAAGTGTAAACTTGGTACTTACGTAAATCAGAGCAGGTTGCCACACGACATTAACAAGGAGAATTAGTTGCTAATTTAAACCCCACGGCGGTAGAGGTAGTATAAGTATAGGGGTAATGGGAAAGATTAGGGTTCGATGAAATTAGTAATAAAGTATAATCCAGTGAAATAAATTTGAGAAGTGAACGACGAGGGTCATGAAGAATTCGGATTATAATTTAAGCGATGACAAACAATGAATGAGCCTGTGCCATTGAAAACGATTATGAGTCATGACATTCAAAATCTCTAACCATCAGTAACTATCATTTAGCGGACCCCAACCAGGTAGTCTACATCTACCAATACAGCTCAATCCACTTAAGCCATGTTTTGGATTGACCGACCTGAGCTTTTTTCCAGCCTTATCCCAACATCAGAAAACATTGCTGTTCGGATTAGTCGGCGGTTGAACATACGTAAAACATGGCTCAACCAAAACGAGCTTCATTTACCTCTGGAGTCTCATCAATACTGATGGCCTTGTGTGTAAGTCTCAGCACGTATACAGAAAAATCGATTGGCTTTTTCCAACTTGCGTCACTTATGGCGTAGGCGAGATATCTGTCCGCTAACTAAAAAGCGAGTCCTCTGAGCAGTAGTTTGCTCTGTCCTACTCTATGGGTTTGAAACATGGCCAATATGAATAGAGGACATTCGTAAGTCACTTGAACCAGATCATAGGTTTATTCGAACAAATGTCCGAACTAAAGCACGATTGGACCAAACTTTTATAAACAGACTTTCCAGTTATTTTCAGAATAAGTATGCAACCAACGTGGGTGCAATATCTAGACGAAAGAGTGACAAAACGTATAGTTTACATTCTTGAAACTATGACAAGCTGTGTTCAGTTATTATAATAAGCTCGTAGAAAGTCCTTATCACGTTGACAGGTTATGATAACTGCTAGGAGGTAACAAAAAACTGATGATATCGCTTATTACCGGTGAAACTACATGCGTAGGAATAATGAAAATAAAAAACCATAAAATCCAGGGAAGATACAAGACAGTAGATCGAATTTTCAACAAAACACGAAAATAACAAACACAAAGGTAAAAATATCTTTTCGGTAGATATTTTTCTACAAACGGCTTTTCTAATCTGTACTTATTTGGGGTGAAAACTCAAATGTGACATGTAATTCTAAAACTTTTGAATAAATAAATCACGAAGTTAAATCATAATCCTGAGAAAATGAAACATTACGAAACATATTTACCCTCAAGAGAAACACCGAAATAGCATGTGTCAAAGTCGATTGAAAATCCCGGGTGTTGTTTACAGTGAGTCTGTATCCAATATCCAATATCTTTTCCTGAGCTAGTATCAGTCAGATGATCTTTTTCTCACGCTTCTATTCCCTTCGGCACTGATCAAGGTATTTCTCACTGAACATTGGATGGTAGGCTAGCCACTTGACAACACTAATACAAGTCATTTGGCAGTTCCTAATTTATGTTAGATCATTTATTCGCAATGTGGAGAACAATACGGGTTCTAATGCTGGCGAGAAGAGGGAAATCTCAGAACCACAAAAACAGAATAATGATCTATTTATTTGACAGTGAAGACTGTGTGAGTGGACAGAACTGTAAAAATATAAGAGGAGACATAAGAAACAAACGAGATATTATAAGTTAATGACTTGACGAAATGACAGGTTTACAACTGCTAAGATTTAGAATATTTATCAGGCACACCCTGCATAAGCTGTATATGGTAGCCTACGTAGTCAGTCTGATTTGCTTTGAGAATGAGCTATCAACGGTAAATAATAGCATCAGTATCAGACACACGGAAAGGAAGAAACCAACTCACAAAGTAACAGTCAAAGTATAACGGAACAATATGGCAGCCATTGCGCAACAATGCCAAGTGAAGAAAAAGATAAACAGTCATTAAAATCTCGACACCATGATATCCAGAATTAGTAAGTAGTCTTTATAAATGAAGGCAATTGATAGCTATAAATAAGAAAGTGGTTGAATAGGTTTTCTTCCATTTATGCACTATGATTAGCCAAGATGAGTTCTGGAGCTAGATATAACGCAGATACAATCACCGTTAGCTTGGTAAGTTCTGGTTGAAAATGTATGGAGTGAAATCTCACGTTACTTAGCGTCACCTACTCTCACTGGCCGATTTCATCGAATGTTCAGCGTATGCCATAGCCAGAGAGCATTTTTGTCATTTTAAGTGCTTCGCATCTCAAACTATGATGAACATTATTATATGCATATTATTTTTTTTCAGTTACATTATTCACAGACTTCTTCCAATCAAATAAAACGCGCTTCCAGTAAAGATATCCTGCCTGATTTTGTTTTATATGTTCTAGCTAGCAACGTCCTTTTCATGAGGTTCAAATGAGGGACAACATACATATCAAGACGTTACGGAAACATAGCATTTGAAAATCTAAGTGATGTAGTTCATAAGAATAGAAATGAGCATCTCAAAACTTGAAAAACCATGAATTTTTTCGTGGTATACTCAATTTTAGGTTTGAACTTGAACGAAAATAGTGAAATTATACCGCCTTCAAATTATTTTCTAAACTCGGGCATTTTCGAAAGAAATGTAATCTCACAAAAAGTGGTTTTTATTTTATAGCATGTCGACATCCACTTAGGGCATTTATTTAGCACTGTTCTGTCAGAGAACCTCTTCTACCACTTGGCTTAAGATTACCATCAACAAACTAAAATAAACAGTTCATTAAACTAACTTAAATCTTGTCAAAAGAATCAAAGGTCGCCGAAATTATAAGAACCTTTACCAGAAGAGAAACTTGGAGACGTCCGTATTTAAAACTGTTTGCTTAAATTAGAAAATAGTAGGTGACATGAGTAAATAAAGCTATTGTCGATTGAAGAGTCGTACTTGACGAGCGCGTCAAGCAAAGTAGTTCGTCACAGTCAGGAGACAGTGACAAATATACTTGGCGTGGCACTACTGGCTGTTGGTCTTAGACAAAGTAGAAGGCTAGCTTTATTTTATCAACTCATGTAAGTGAAATCTGATTACTTTTTTTCTTTTCCTCATTCGTTTACTTGACGTCACTAACATGATAAATGCAAGTTTTTCAACCCTAGCTGCCAATTGAACTAATTGCAGAGTTCACTTAGCGGCGTTAAGAAACACGTCGTTTTATCCAGTTTTTTTACAGTGCTCCATTTTCATCTTTCGGAATCTACGAACTATAAATACTATAAAGTTAGTCGTGATTTTGAAACAGTGTTTGGCCGCTCTGAATATAATTAAGGCCATAAATTTCATGTATTATATCTAATTTTGGCGACAGTGATCTTGTTTTCTACGACTGACGATAGTGTGGAAGTGTTATCAAGTCATCGTGATTCCTTTAAATACCACGTGACCTAACACAAGCTCATCATTTGTCCCACATATAGAAATGTGGTAGATTCATGTCACTAATTTCAAAAGTAACGTTAACTTCCATGCTTTTGTCTTGCTGAGTAGAATATCTGCGCATTAAAAGCCTGTCATTTTTCGTTACCTGACCTTGATTACCAAGTCGACAGTAATCGTACTGAGCACCAGTTACTTAAGCATAGCTCCTTCAGTGAGGTCGCTAAACGTTATGCAACTGATTTCCACGGTATGTTGAAAGATGCAACTAAAATTAAAAGCCAGTGACTATCCCATTGTTCACTTTTGGATCGTTTCGTTTGGTTTTGTAGGATTTATGGTGTGTTGCTTGCTATTATTACTTAGGCAAAATATTTGATTTTGACCTAATTCAATCCTTAATTTTGCCATCTTGCTATGTACAATACTTGGTGTTTTTTGCACTGATCCATTTTTACATAATTTTAATTGATATTTTATTGATTTTTTTTGCATAATCCGAATAATTATCACACAACATAGCTTTCGATAAAAATTTCTCATATCGTATCAGCTTATAGCAATTGTTAATGAGTGGTTACTATTAGAAATTCCTACTGTATGTATACATAAATGTTTAATGCATTCTTTCAGATTACAGCATGCTGATTAAGGTGAAAACGTTAACAGGTAAAGAGATTGAAATCGATATTGAACAGACTGACAAAGTTGAACGGATCAAAGAAAGGATTGAAGAAAAAGAAGGGATACCTCCACAACAGCAACGATTAATTTTTTCCGGTAAACAAATGAATGATGAAAAACTTGTCCAGGAATACAAAATGCAAGGTGGATCAGTTATCCATTTAGTACTTTCATTGCGTGGGGGTCTATGATGGTCACACGTGCTTTCGTTCATCAGCGAAACGGAGTGAAATCACACACCTTATGTATTATATTGCGAATATGAAGGAGGTTGAGCTATTTGAGTCATCGTTTTGTCCTTTTCACTGTATCTATCTGCTAATATCAGATCTTAATCTATGTATATGTCTTAAATTACATTATTGAACACATCTTCAATATTGTATGTTTGTGTGGTTAATAATTCGTTACAATGAAAGATAAAAAATAACTTGAGGTTACTTTTTTCAGTATATACACATGCTTGGTATTATTTAGTTCTATCTTAGAGCAAAAGTGATCGTATTCCGTCATTCCTCAAACCTGTTTCACGGGTACCTCGGTATCAAGATATATTCACTCAGTAAAACGTTTCAGATAAAGAGATTTCCGCTTAATAATGATACATACTGCCAAGCTCTGTTCAGAATATCAACTCGAACCCAAGAACGACATTCCAATTCTCAAGTCCTGACATTAAGTAATGGAAAGGTTTACTAACACAACAAGATAGTTTCGAAGTCTGTTGCTTTGATTTAGTAAAGTATTTAAAGATCACCAAACAAAAACCTCAAAAGCTATAAAAATTCTGAATCCGTTACGTTTCAGAGGGCTTGTCAGTAATTTAGTTCTTTACACGTTTCGTCTTAGAATTCGTGACGCTATTCTAAACGGATATTTCAAATTGTGACCGGTTTAAAAGGCTTTGTTTGACTAAGAGGAATCGGTCGATTTTCTCAAACTTTCTTATCCTACCTTTGCGTAAGAGATATTTTACTAGATGGGTATACGAATTAAAGTAGGTTCTCTTCTGTATAGTCTGTCTCCAAGTGCTTTAACCCCTCAAGACATTAGGGTGACATCAATCACAAGTTAATCTGTTTTAACATCATCAATTAATAAAGCAGTAAATATGCTATATGACGCGTAGACTTCAGACTTTTATTACATGCTGCAGTTATTCACCAAGTTGATGATGATCGAAAATTATTCATTAAAACACATATATTGGTGCACTGAAACATGCGCCGCACAACGGGGAAATGCGATTATGAAGCAGCAGAAAGGAAGGTAGGATAAAGGATTAAATACGTAAAAGATAGTAAATGAGAATTAAAAACAAATAATTAGACGTGTGCCGGTCCTATGATAGCTGGTGACCAATGATACATTCGTAGGCCATTCGTTCCGTCAGGATACTGGAGCCCAAGTGCACTGTTGGTTTGTAATCAGGGTATTGCAACTGTCTTAAGTCTATCCTCCCTACCCACCAGCACAGTTTAAGTGTCGAACACTCGTTTTTCGTCCTCTCACTCTACATCCGCCACCATAAGTCACTAGGACTTCCCTGACAGTAACTATGTATGTGTGACCATATGAGAGAATCCCGAGAGGGAAAGTAGTCTTTGCACACCCTTAGCCGTGACGGGTTATTTTGGGACGAATTTGTAGATAGTTAAAAACGACCTCAATAAGACGACTGGATGGCTAATAGCGTCCACATTACACTTGTGTGTGGAATCTCTTGTTAGTCTACCAAGTATCCTTAACGATAAACAGGTTTGTATCCATTAAAAACCGGTTAGTGCTTCATTCAGTCAGTTGCAACGCAGAACTTCGTACTTAAGTACATCAGTTCAGGTTGCCATACCCCATCAGCACAGAGACGCAATCGTTACTTCAAATCCAAATAGTGGTAAAGATGGTAGAAGTATTAGCAGTAATGAAGAAGATTAGGGTTCGAAGATATTATTCAAAGATTAGAATCAAGTGACATAAACCTAGAGAAAGTTTAGGATTTGAGAGAACACAGCCACGTCCGAGTATGAAAACAGCCTGGTTTTCTCTAGTCTGCTCTTCACGATTTCTGGTTAAGGATAATTTAGGCTAACAAATTAGAAACTATATTAGTTAGACTGATTCCTCTGTGATTGTCACAAGAAGGCTTTTGTCCGTCCCTATAAATTGGGACAATCAAGGATTGAGACCAGTCGGCAGGGATTACGCTAGTTTCCAGATTCTACCTAAGATCTCGGTCAATCTAACTGTTAAAACTGGACCACCATCCTTAAATATCTCGGGAATCAATCTATCAGGACCCGCTGCTTGACCTCGCTTCAGATTTCCTATAGCTTTCTCAACTTTAAAAGACTAGGAAGACTTATGTCGGTTCCCCAATCAAGATGACTGGAGATCGTGGGCAGCCGAAGTGTGGCTGAATGCCAGTTGAACTGATCCATGAAGTGTTCTGCCCATCGATCCAATTTCCTGGATTAAGAATGAATGATACAGCCATCCTTTTCCGGGATAGTTTCACTCACATTCTGGTTCCTAATACCGGTTTCCCTGATGAGTCTGAATAGTTGCCTACCGTTGCCTTTTCCATTTCCCTTGCTTTCGCCACCCACCACTGTTCACGGTCGTTACGTAGGCTTTTTATCAGCCTGCGCCTGATCTGACTCCACTCTTCATCGTGCTCAGAGCCAGGAGGGATGAGTTTTCGAGCATCCATCAGTTCCGTAGATGCTACTGAAATCCATGCCTTCTCCTTAATCTTATGGTTTACCTTACTAGAAGATATCACTGCTGTTTCTACAGCCTTTTTGATATCATCGCTTACTAAATGGCTACTTAACTCTTTCTTTTATATGTTCGTGAAATATATTCTTAGCTTTATTATCATTAAGTAGAGCCCTAAGAGGTTTTCTTGCGTCCAGTAAGGCACAAACAAACGCGCTCGCACTAGAGCATGATCTGAATTTAAACATGTGCCCCAGAACGAGCAGCAGTCCTCCTTCGAACCCCTCCATCGGTGCCTGATGGCAATGTGATCTAGGAATATACGATTATCTTAGCACAGATGTAGTAGACGGTCGCCATTATATGTTCTTTGAGCCGCGACACCATAAGATCCACCTAGGTGTGTTTTCTTTTCGCTGAGTCCACCTACTTTAGCATTAAAGTCACCAGCCCTTATTACTATATCAGAGCGCCTAACGTTTTGGAGTAGGTCCGAAAGCTTCCTGTAAAACTCATCTTTCACCTCGTCTGAACTGCTGTGAGTGGAAGCGTAGGCAGATACGACGAAGAGGCGACGGCGAGTTTACCTATCCTTCCGAGTCCGTACTGTCCCGTTTAATCGGACAGCGCATAGGCGACTGTCTATCTGGATGCAGTCTAGGAGAGTTAGTTCTACCCTAGGACGTAATACTATATCTATGCCGGGGAGGCCACGAGGAGCGGCATCAGGTCTTCCAGAAACACGAAGCGTAAACCTTGTCTCTATCTGCACTAGGTGAGATGAAATTGATGATTTTACTCGGATCTTTTTGTCAGATCGTACCGTTTGCTTCAGTGGCGTGAGGTGATAAACGATCGAAGGAACGGTTGGTCGACGAGATAAGAGAGTTATTAAGAGGTGTAGAAATGATTTGATTGTGACCAGTAAGGTCTCGTATGCTTTTATGGGTATGAGGGCGGATGTTACTTCTTGGCTGCCCACACTGTGGAAGGGTTCTGGTTGTCAGATTGGGCATGGGCCTCATAACTCCCGAACGAACTCGGATTTCATCATCAGACGTCATAATTCTTCTAAAGGAAGACCTAACTCTGAGAACAGAATTTATATGGTTTGAATTATTATTTCTTGTTTGCGTTTTTTGGCACGTTAGTCTTTTCCGGGATGTGGTCGCCGACCCACATCTCAACCCTCTTCCTTTTTCTGGGCTTGAGACCGGCAGTAGCCCCCAAGGGTCTACAGGCGTATTTACATTAGATGGTAGGTATGTCTCAATTTAGTCGTTAGTACACCTAGGGTTCATTTTAGAAATTCGCTTTTTCGTCATAAAGTGGAACTAACCATGGAATTGTGACCGGAGATGCAAACCTATTGGTCCCTTTTCAAAAAAACTTAGATTCTCAACCATCTTTAAAATGATTAAGAAGATTTTTATGTAATGATATTTTCTATACCTGCAGTCACATTGGTGATACTATCAAATGACTAGTACGGTTTCAGGACAATCCTTGTCCTAATATTCATCAGTTCAAGTTGAACTACTCATGAGTAACTCAAATTTAAATTTTATTTTTAATGTGCTGCACAATAGGAATGACTATTTCGCTTAACGGAAGAAATATGTATATATCCATAAATAATAAGTGAAATGAGAATATCACCTATTGCAGCTGAAATAAAAGATCAAAGAGTTCAATTAATCAGTATAAAATACCCAGTTTTTTCTGAACAACAAAGTAATCTTAAGTATAATTGGGACTAATAAACTAGGAAAAGCATTTTGTACAATAATGTTAAAATCAAAATGCAAATATCGAATGAGCCTCGGAAATATCTCAAAGTATTATGTCAAAGGGTAGGTTATAAATTATTGTTATATTTTCGATATCCACTATTCCATTAAATATACAGCTCTCATTAAGTTTACGTTTATTCAAACGAAATTCCTGATAAAAGTGAGTCCTTAAACTAACTGAAACACGTAATATTCTTTTATCTCACATCTTTTCCTGGTAATGCTTAGCTTCTGAAACAAAACTTTGTTCAAGATTTAATGCATAAAGAATAGCAAACCGGACACCTTAGTATTTCTGAAGGATGATGGGATTGTAAAATCTTTCAGTTATATAATCTAAATGAAGAAACAAATATTTCAACCCCGTACACAGGTTTTATGTAGCCGAAGAATACTGAATTTTCTAAAATTATTAGTATACAGGTATTTCTTTGAATTATATTTCTGTTAGTGATGGAATCAGGTGTACGATCATTTAATCTGTTGATGAGAATAATCATCTGATTTCTATATTCCTTAAACTTGCCAGATTAGAATCATAATAGAAATAAGCACTGGCTTCGTGAATTAAAAATACATTATACTGAAAGAATATAATCAACACCAGGATACTGCCAACATGTTACTGCACAGTCATCAACTGATGTCTTCAGTTCAGCCCTACAGAATTTTGACTGCGACTTGAATATTTCAATAGTGACATTTCCAAAAGTAATATAAGATCATACGAATTTGTATATATTCGGTAGTACTGGCAAGTACGATCACAATCTCAACATTGTAAGGCTTAACGCAAACTGTCCATAACTATCGAATACGACCTCATGTCACATAGACCAGCGACCTTATTGTAATGATAATCACAGAGCACTAGAAAACATAACATCAGCTACCAAACACTGTGTACATCGAATCCGTCCGTAGATATATAGTTTTTTTTTTAAATGAAAATATGACTTAGGTAACTGTGTGTTTCTTACACTACAGTAAACTAGACATTCTCTATGATCACATTTCCATAGCTTTAGATATACCTGTATGTTTGTTATTCACCATCATTTCTGTTTTTATTTTTTAAAATGACCAAATATATGGGCAGTCACTATCATACAAAAATGCTGATGTATATATATATATATATATATATACTATTTCGTTCAAATCAGTTCAGCCTTGAGCATACGTACAAACTAGGTGCAGATGATTGGTAAATTTCAATGGTGTATCTATCTACTAACTCACTTTAAAACACAACAATCTTCATTGATATTTTGTTTTCTCTATGAGTAGCGAAATATTTGTGCAGCATGATAAAAAATTAAAATTTTCATTAGATTCATATCAGGCTCAATAAATGATATCGATTAGTCTATTCGGAAAAAAGCTTAAATTCTTAAGATTTTTTCGCAAACCGATACTTATTCTACGCAAAAGCCAATAATTAAAAATAATTATTTGATGCGAATCGTTAATACAAACCAATCTTTGATCATAGTTCTATTCTATTTTGCAATGTGATATGATCACCTGGACTAGTAAACATGTGGATTATTTAAATTGTATAAAATTACATCAGTTCAAAAATTCACCATTTGTCTTTGTTTATATTGTATCACAGTTAATTATTTTAAGCTTTTCAACTGAGTCCGATCTAAGATGGTTGACATATTCAAATCAAATTGTGGATACCTTTTCTGTCAAAGGTAAGAATGATTAAATTAAAAATTTAAAATACTTTTTTGTTATCCATTTAATGGCCTACTTGATACGCTTTTGAAATAATATGATGGAGAGTAGAAATGATGCGTTTCCAAATCGATTGCCATGTAACTTCAATATTACAGGATATTTAAAAGATTAAGCAGATTAGAAGTAAAACTCCTGTCACCTTACTACTAACGAGTGTGTTGACTCACAACAATCGTGTTAATCAAATAACAGAAAAAAAAGATTAAGAATTTCGTTTCTCCTTTATTTGTTTTTTTTCCAGTTATTTCACTAGTAATTCAATATTCACACACTATATATAGTTGAGAGTTCTAATTCACAGACGATAATCCAATCATAGACTTAATTTTTTCTAAAATGTTTTTGTTCTAGTAAAATGTTTAGCACATCTCTAATCTTTTCACTAATTAATCAATTATTCTGTAGAAATTTTTACTTTCCATCTTTATCTTTATTCAACTGTTGAAGTATTTGGAAAATAGATTTAACGGAAGCCTTATCATATGATTGGTTCATTTATTTATTATGGTAGTCTATTATCACATTGATAACAAAACTATTATGTTTTTAACTCTAAATAAGGAAAAATAACTCAGAAAATCTTAATTTAAGATCACCAGAGATAATGGGTGAGGTTGCACAAAACCTTCGTATGATTAAAGTTAGACATTAACACTGTTTGACGTCGGTCTAGAGGTTGAGCGTTCGTGTGTGAGACCAAGGGTCCTGGGTTGGATTCCCGTGTGCGGGGTTTGTGGGTGAGCACAGCTGATGAGTTCCATGCTAAGACGAAACGGCCGTCCAGTGTTTCCAGATTTTCAATGTTGGTCTAATAATGATTGATTTATGATTTCGATAAAAATATTAGTTACTTTTCAGTTACTTACCGTTCTACTTGTCTCAGTCATGTGAAGTTGTTGGACATACTCAAGTAGGTGAAGTGGTTTGGTTGTTACAACTGTGCGTTCGCTTTTGGGAGATATTGTTATATATATTCATCAATACAATAATTTTTTTTCAGTAATAATAGCAGTGGAAAAATAATGTCTATAGTTTAATTTTGATTATTTTAGTGTTTAATATTTCAAGTTTTTTGAGTAGATATTAGGTATTTTTCTGGATACTTAGATATTCTAGAAAAAGAATCTCAACATCAGGCAAGTTCTTTTTCCCCTTAACTTTCTTTTCATTCACATGAGGACATGGAGTTACTTGGTTCAGTTACCACACTAATCTGTTAGGACACGAAACTAAACAATATGATAGTGATTAAGATTTGACTATGAATCAGTATAATTTTCTTTGGAAAACTGGCTAGAATCTTTTATTTATTGAATGAGTCTAACAAAACTTTCATATGTAAGCTAGGATTCTATTTTCAGTAACCAGTCGGATTTAAACGCACTATTTCATTGGGATTTCATTTTCTAAATGTCCGATTGATCAAAGATTTGAAATGTTCACACCATTGCTAGTACCAGGCGATGGGCCACAGTCTAATTAACTCAGCTGTCTGATTATTTCATCGAGAACTAGATTACGACCAGAACAAAAGATTTTCGGCAGAGCTACAAAGCAGTTAGGAAGCGAAATCAAGGCCGGACTAAAATTGGAATGAATTTTACAATATATACGATAGTTTCTTATATTTAGTGTAGTTTCGTATGACTGCCTTCGATGATTGGCCAATAACAGGTTTATTTAATGGTACATATGACGTAACTTATTGGTCTGAAAAACAGCTTCATCACCAGTTTGGAACATAAGGAACAGTCTTTTAATTAAGCCATCTAATTTAGAGACCATACCAATCAGGTCAACTGTTCACAACAGAAGAAGCTAAAAGAATAACAAGACAATGAGGTCAAGCCAATCACATCACTAAATTCGTTTTAGGCTTGATCTATTTTTTATTCGCTTGTTAGTGAAATTTGTTGAATCTGATGATTGGTTTATGATCTAAAATTACGGCTTTTTAATTTTTTTTGTCATTTGAATGACTTGATCAAATCAATCAATCTGTCAAAATAGGATCAACGTTTTTTCAAATGTTTTAAAAATATCAGAATTATTCATTTACATCTTTACAATGCCTTATAGAACAATTCATGCTTCCCTTCTACTACATGGGATTAGAGTGAATTTTATCTCGATTTATTTGGGTTATGGCTGACAGTAGGTTTTGGAAGATGCATATCATCCTCCTTGGTACTAATCAGCTGCTAGTACATTCACCTTGAAACTAGTACTCAGCATCCATAACTTTAAACTATAATCCATTATCCACTAAAATGAACAATACCAAATCACATATGTTGACAAAAATTGGTTAGTCCATAAATATCAACAATGGTATAAAGCAAAACCCCATAATTTTTTGAGATTTGTTTTTTTTATTGTTTCCTTCATTTGTTTAGTGTGAACCAAATGAATGATAAATTCGGAGATACAATATAGTGAAGCTATAATAATAAACATAGAAATATTTCAGTATAGGGGTTTTATAAAGAGTATTGAATAATATTGACCTTAGGGAAAAGACCTAAATTAGAAAACTAATGCAAAGCAGGAAGCACTGGATAGCAGTAGCTCGGATCCACCACCTAACAGGTGATTGAACCCAAGACATTTAGGTCTAGTTGTTAGTGTTTAACCTTCAGATCAGTGAGCTGGTAAGCAGCGGTATACATGTTTAAATTTAGCCAAGTTTCAACACTGCACAATCATATCTTGGTACGTGTAGACTCTAGTTTGATTCCATAAGACAAATATAAGTTTGACAATAAGAGACAAAAATTGCCCCTAAATCGAGTCCTAGTATAATTATGCCGACAGATCAGAACTGAATAAAATGTTAACTATATATATCCATGAACCATTCTGGTCGAATACGAGATAAAAGAAAATCCTCCAAATTTAGTAAAACATGATAACAGTAGAAGAAATCGATCAAGGTTACTACGAGAACTTTTGGGAAATATGTTGTGGCAAGCTGGCATCTTAATGTAGTGAAAGTCCTACATCATTGATGTCTACTCATGTAATTTGCGCATTTCATACAATTCGTTGTTGTTCTGGCTTGACATAATCTGAGTATACTGATTGAGTTGATTGAGTATACTACTGAGTTGCTCTACAAGTTATCATACTATTGTCTCAAGAGTGAAAAGCTTACAATCCACTAAAAAGATTGTTTACGGAGTTGTTATATCCGGATGTCGACCAAAGTAAATAGTAACTTAAGAACTCAGTTTATGGATTATTACTGTATATAGCCTAACTTTATAATTACTACGTAATTAGAATGTCATCTATATGAGTTCCCTGTATCCTGATCTCTTGAATAACTTATTAACTCTCGTGATGATTCTTAATATGTTGCTAGGTTGTTATTTTGCATCCTCCCCTAATCACAGTCACCTTTGGCTCATTCATGTATACTTGTTAATTTCCATTTATTAATGCGATGTTGGTCTGTTTTTGTCTGTATATGGACGAATGTTCAAAATGTAATAACCAAATTTTGGACTGGTGTTTTGTGGTCTCTATTCATCCTCTTCGTTTGTGGCTAGTTCGCATTTGAGCGTCAATTAAGTCTTCTGACCTTTTTGTATATTCGTACCTAAAAGGTCATCTACGGTTTGTTTCGTGAAAGGGCATGACATTAGTCGAACACTAGATCATTTTCCCTGAAACTTTTCAGCTTTTTACAATGTGCATAACCTATCCGAGATAAAACTATGCATTTTGTTTTACTTAACTAAAAACAGTTATTCTGCAGGCGATTAAAATTCTAAGTGTGTGATTTTTGATACGAGTTATGCAAAAAGAAAAAAACTCAATAAATTATTAAACTGTTCCAAATATTGTACACTTCCTAATTTATAAATCGTGTAGAAACGAAACTATGCTTTGATTCGTAAGCTTTAAAGTGAAAATAACTCAGAATAATAAATCATTTATAAGTGAAGTTTATCTATTCCAACTATGTCTGCTCATCGCATATATTTTTTTTTGCTTTAAATACCAGCTTGTCAAAATAAAAATATTAAACACAGAACACAAGAAGCCAATCAATAAGTCATAAAAATTTAAGCAGATCATTCTTGCCATGATCATTTTGTTTCTAATCTGCTATGTAATACTAGTTTTACGTAATCTATCATAAATACCTTTTTACTTGACTAACAAATAGTTTCGGTTAACTTTTCATTATAACCTACTGGAGCGCCGCTAATATTTGCATGTGTCACACACGCAAGCACACACACACTTTGCGGTAGCCAATACAACTAGCAGTAATCACTATAAAAACACATGTTATTACGTGTAATAGGATTGATTACTCAGTGCCAAGTCGCAAATAGTTGGTTGAGTTTACTATTTAAATTACCAGTCAGATTAAAAAAATTAAACATTAACACTACGCACTAAATGGTCACATGTTAATTTCGACTAATCGATATCTTTGTGGAGGATGTGAAGTGATATAGATAGGCAGGGAATCGTTGAATAGATTCGTTTCTTGACAAACTAAAACCAAAAAACTAATAACTTGCAAATTTATAATTTGAAGTTTATTGTAGTTCATGTGTACATAAGCCTTTGGAAATAATCTTATTTGAATTAGAAATTTGAAATTAACTTGATTCTTTATGCTTAAAATGTACTGGTAAAGATATGATGAGTATATATAAGTGAACTACAACTCAATGATAAGACATTTATTCTTAATATAAAGCTAATGCCACTGAATTCATTTTAACAGATCAACTGAATAAATACTAAGGACTACACCTAGTGTTAGACGACTTCAATTATCTACGAATCTAACTAATTTTATTGTAAGGAAAAACTAATGGTCTAACATTGATCGATTCATGATTTCAAAAAGTAACACAACAATCTCCACAACCCCATAACGAAAATCATCATGTGTAATCAATCAGAGACGTTTTATTGATTTCTTTAAGACCATAGTGACTATTTAGAAGAAAGCTAAATGAAACTCTCGTAAGAACTTAAAGTTTTTTTTAGGTTCAACGGAGAGGTGTCAATTTCATTCAAGAAACCTGTTAGGAACGTAGTTCATACTGAATATACCGATTTCCAGAATCTGGTTTAAAATTCTAAAAGTTAGAATAGCTTTACTGCTTAACCTGAGTAAGAAGTATCAATGAAACTAAATATTGCGCCACAGTTTAATACATTTCGATCAAACAAAATTCGATTGCTTGTCCTTGAAGAATCCTTTAAAACCAAAGAATACTGGGCATAACCAGTCTGTCATAGTTCAGAATATTAAAAATAATACAAACAACAAAAGTTTGGAATTAATGATTCATATGTACCATAGTATTTGTGAGATTCTAAAAGTTGTACACATCTGTGTACACTATCTGAGTGAAATAACAGTTTAATAGTCTGTCGGTTTTACTAGACTCTGCATGATTAAATATTTGCTTGAATTATTACTGATTATGTATGTATGTATACTTAAAAAAATATTTTTTCTGTCTATTGGTGTTATTGGCTATTTTATTTATTTGTAAATCTTATATAAGGGTAATCGACAATTCATTAGTGAACTAGTTGATTGAACTGAGGAATTTAAACATTGTTCACTTGTTTAACACATACTAATACCCTAGACATTACTTCTTCACTATGGTAAACAGCTATCTAGTTGTCAAAAAATGTCACACAGTGAAATATCATTTCTTTCTGTCTTGACATACCCTCTTATTCAAAACTTTATGGGTTTTTATAACTTCTTCCTTACCTAGTACTCTTTGACTGCTACATCTAATCCGACCAGATGCAAATCAGAAAAAGAACGACTTCGGAACGAAATCTATATTCAAAACGATCCGGAAACAATAATGTTAAGAAACATTTGGTTGTTCTTGTCCCTTTTATAACAGCTGACTGACCAAAAATATATGGACCACTTAGCATATTTAGATACGTTCTTGTAACGAGCACCCAAATGTTCAAATCCCATCCCTCTAACAGGTTAACATTTGTTCGCTGTGACTTCCATCATCAGATGAGATTAACGCCTTAACCATTAAATATAAATTAGTAGGGGGTCTCTGTTTTAATCCTGGTGTGTGACTCCTTGGAAGTTTACGTTCACGATTGATCTAGTGAAAGAAACAAGACCCTCTAGGTTTGATAATGAATTCAATACTATTGAGTTTGAATAAAATAATTCAGAATTTTAAATTGATTCATTTGGAAATACTATGCAATGATCATCCAAAGAATGTAGATGAGGATGAGACTGGACTCTATAGTAGTTGTCTGATCCTGGTTTCAGTTTTCTACTTTATAAACATATCTAGTTAGAGCTCTTTATTTCATTAAGCCATACCAATCTTGTTGTTTTTTGATGTTCATAGTTTTGAAATGGTCAAAAATATCTATCTGTATAAATCTTAGTTTAAGTGTATATAAATCCATAAATATAACCGTATACGTTATCAGCACGGTATTTTATAATTTTCCTACAACAGGCAGTACATTTTGTTCTAAACCAGTTTTCTTAAAGGAAACCGTCTTCCCTGTTCATCTTAATACCAAAAGAGCTGTAAACTCGTTACTTTTCAGTGAATATGTGTACACACTAATGCTAGACTGATTGTCATGTTTTTTTGATCTAAAAAATACTAAAAGTATTTGAAACTTGGTTTATTGAAAACAAACGTTTAACTAAGATTTAATTTTCATTCAGATAATCTAGATAGAGCAGTGAGATAAATCGAATAACATACTTTGTAGTTCATGATATGGTTTAACTGTAACCAGATAACCATTGAAAGTTGTGTAACGTTAGATCTCGTCTGTCTAGTCCTGGTATGGAATTCCTTAACAGTGAACATTCACAATAGTACCTACGACCAAACTTATGACATGCACATTATGGAGTTTTTACCTAAAGGCCACCACGTTGGGATTTGATGGCTCGTATTTTTAACTCCACTCGAGTCACAACACTGAACCTCACCCTTGGCTGATTAGGATATATCCACAACTTTTTCCTCAGACTCTAATAAAGTCAGATAAAATATTGTACGATACTCAGAATGTTCTAGACCTTATAACCAAACATAGATCTAACTAACTAGTTGTAACCACCTACCTTGTATATTATCCTCTAACTAAATGTCAGATACATTCTTACTATCATCATTTATGAATATTTTTCGTTCTCTGATAATATACTTCGGTTATCTTCTCACTGTTATCTCTAAAATGAGCTTACTTTATACTTAGATTTGATCTCAATGGGTCAGGGGACAATATTCTATCACCTTCATTCTGGAAATTATACAAATCTCTTAGAATCACCTCAGCTGAACAGTATTTTCGTTATTGGAAACAGGTAAGATATTGCAGTTATTTACATATACGAATCTTTCAATGACTTTCACAGTTCAACTCATCAAAATAATTATCGACTTTTTAAGTTGGCCAAACTACGGCTTGAGAGATCGCAAACTGGGTTAAAAGGAGGATAAACTGAATCTATTTTAAGCTTAATATGGAACATTTTTTCAAAGTCTCTGAAATTAATATTTCAAACTGAACTCTATCTGCTGTCTGAAAGACCTGATGAAGTTGACTTTGGATGGTTCCCAAAATTACATTTAAAATAAGTCTTAGTGGAATAATTACAAGAACACAATAGCTTGATTGTAGCATTTAAGAATGAAGTTTGAAATATTTCAAACCGTTTGAAATATCTTTTTATCAGATTGAATCAGTTAATTATGGGAAAATTAGACTTGCAACGCTTCATTTCCGAAATGCACCAGATAAATATTTTACTCTAATTCGAAACTTCATTACTGTCCATTCTAATTAACCCATAAATTTAGCAGAATATTATCTTTGAGTAAAATAGTTTACACGTAACAAGTCAGTTAACTAGTTGAAATCCAACAGTTAACATACTTCACATTCAGAAAACTAACAAAATCCAAAATTGATTTCTTGAATTCACAAATCGTCATCTTTTTTAAAAGACTTCTCAACAGTTTTCTTGTGAATGATTACTTGACTGTCTGTGAAAAATTGAGGATTTCAAGAATCGATTTTAAAATGAGTAGAAAACTATTGAAAGTAAAGAATGGAAGGACAAATGAACAATATTATTTGATAATCAGGAGTATTTGTATTCTGTATATTGAACTAGTAACACCCAGAAATGTCCAATTCACACTCTAGTAGTCACGAACGGACCATAACTAAATTCAAGGGAAACTACGTGAACGTAAACGAAAGTATTGTATTTCGAATTCTAGTGAGTCGTGGAATAATGTAAGAAGAGTTCACTGTTATATATAACCATCACACGTTATCAGCTCAAATACCTGTGTAGTGAATCTCAAGATTATCTTTATTGATTGGATTCATATACCAAATTTCATATTCGCTATCAGAAACAATAGTGATAATTAGTTTCACGTGATTCATGGACCTAAATGACTTGCTTTCGATTTTCAACTAATACAAAACTTAGGCCTAGAGAATGATATTTCACTTTCCTAACCATATAGTATGAATTACGTCATAATGTCGAGTCATGTCGTCAAGTGGTTATATTGAAAATTATCAGACAGAACTCAATCGTTATTGAGAATTAGATGATATGAGACAGGTTAATACCTTGTGGCCAATTATTCTAACTGAGTCAGTCTGGCAGCTGCAACTTGAACAACTCACTAGTGACACTTTTGACTGTGGAAATCGGTGGTGCAGGTCTTAGTCCGAGCCGAGGAGAGACGCTGGTCCTCTGAAGATTTTGGATTCTCCCTGTTGATAAGTTCAAAGCAGTACGAAACCTTGATCTAGGGTTACGGATACTTTTAGTCATATCATCTTTTTAGACAATGAAATCAGCAGTCCTATATCATTTGTACAGAAGTATAATACTTTCAAAGTATTTTTAGCTATAAGTGGTTTATTCATTTCTATATTCAACTGCTATGATCAACAATAACGATAACTATGTTTCTTTATCTTCAGAAATGCAATGTTTCGCTTGAATCCAGAAAATCTTCGACTGATGGCTAGTTTTGAATTGCCTTCAAAACCAATGACATCATTCTGCATGGCAAACACAAAAGTTAGTTTGTATGTTTGTATGTTATGCATGCATTTGATTTAAATTTTTTAGGTCAAGTTTTTTCTACCGGCCTAAACGATGATATCTTATTTTCTGGACTAACTTTAATCCCAATAGTGTTGAATCAGCTACTAAATGTGCAAAGAAATGTTTTAAAAATGTGTAGCGTTTAGTATTGTTAACCATGTAACACAACTCAGAGCATATTTACTTCAGAAAAATCCAATTAGCTCATAAGATACGTACTTGACTATTGAACATACATGAAATGTATAGATCGAAGCTGGAAACAGTAACATATGGACTGAAATATCTATGTTTACTGATTGTACTTATCCAATATACAGTCCTCGGAAAATTATATTTTTCTATTGAGATTTCCTCATTTCCACTAGAACTGAAGAATGAGTAAATTAGTATATACAGGAAAAAATTCGTGAACTGAGTACTACAACATTTTACTTTCAAAAATGCAACCTACAAAAGTTAGTGAAAACACTTTCCATGAAATTGCTTGTTAATCGTCAGCTATAAATGGGATCAAGTCAATTATTTTATTCAGATATAATGCTCATCATTTTTAAACATCACTTGAAATGTAGCTAGTTTTATTTTTCCTGGTAAAACGTACCTTTGTTGATGATGGTTTGGAACACATGGGTTTTCATTAATAGGATCAAATTTATTATCAACTGTCCAAATGATTTAGCGATTTAGCATAATTCGAAGGTAATTGACATCAACTGGAGAGCAAGTAATCACTTAGATCAAACCAGTTTCGAATTTTCGATCGTTAGTTGACACCATGAAGGAATTTCTCTAAGAACGTTCACATTTGGTGATAAACACTATTGCTTCACACCAATTTATCGAAATCTAAGGATCTATCTAGTTCGCCATTTGTATTCAATTTACATTATAGCACTAAAATAGGGTAACGTACGTCTTGTGTTATTGATCTCCAGTAGTTTATCTACGGAAGAAAACCAACAAATTTTAATTATGAAGTATTTTTACACAACTTTTTACTTTCCATATTCTTCTAATCTTTCTTTGTCAACTGTCTATCAATAAACTGCCACAATGAATAAATTAAATATTGATATTCTATTTTTTTTATTTATTTATGAAACACAAAACAATCAGGCACCGTGCACTGAAACACCTGCATTTAATTTATTATTACAAACTCATGATAAACAAAATATTTGGTATTGTTATCTTTATCAAGCAGTTTATATGAATCATAATATTATACCGAATGTACAGTCTGCACGATGTGAAATACCTTCAGTAAGTCTCATGGGGTTATAGTTTTTGAAAGTTTCTACTGTTGGTTCACTGAAATCGATATTTATTATTTAATGTCATTCAAATGCTTTGATCTAAGTTTAATAGAATAATTCTATTAGGCAGTTCTTATTATTATACTAATCCATTTCTTTGTTAATAATTAATACCAAAAATTACCAATAAATTTGACTGGTTCCGTTGGTACTTTATATCCAACTTAATCAAACAAATATCAAAAATTAACATGACTTTAAATCAAGAAGATTTATTATTTAGTAAGAATAATGTTTAGGTCGACAGCATGTTGTTAAGAAGTTCAATTATTTTAAAGATGAAATTTCTAATCTTAGTTAAAACTGATCAATTGAATTCGCTCAGTACTGAAGACTAGACAAATATGAGATTAATTACTACTTAACTGTAACCACCTCATTCCTTCCGGAGGTATTCTGCGACCTGAATAGATTAATGGTACCGTCTCAAGCTCTGAAGCTGGATGCTATGCATTTGAATCTCACAGTGAGCAATCATTCCATCAACGCTGGAGTTGTGCATTGTCAATAAGTCCCAACAAGCACGAAACATAAGCAGGCCTCTGTTTCCTGTCAACTTCCTCCTACCATCTTACATTAAACTGCAATCATATTTTAATGAATTGGCAATTCGCTCATATTCCTAATAAACTATAGGCACTTTGGATAAATTTAAAAGTGTAATAAAAAAATTAGTTGTATGATTTACGTGGATTAATTTAAAATGGAAATGTATTACAATTCAGTAGTATGTAGAAACAATAATTTGAATTTGAATTGGTTAAGTTATGATTTCATTCAACAAATCTGAAAGTATTAAGATTTAATTCATCTAATTACTGTCAGAAATGATTTCTCTAAAAGCACATGTGCTTTCCTGTTTAACTTTTCTTGAATTTACTCAGTCAAATTACAGTAAGTGATAATATTCTGTACTTTCGTTGATTACAATCAACTACTTTTATGAACGTCCAGCTTTCGTTAATGCAATTCAACCGTGTAGTAATCGTTATAAACAAATTACGTGAAAATAATTTCACAAAACGAACTATTTCTAACTATTTATTCATCGAAATTGGATTCAGATATCTGACTGAATTATAATTTTAACTGTTCATTCACTCAGTCGGGAATTAAAACAAAACCTTTTTGATATTCATTTTTAAAGAAATAAATCAATAAATAATCGTTCAGTCATGATTTCATGTAATTGTCCATGTTTACTTTGTTCATTGAAATATTTTTTCTAGTAATATTCTTTGAAACGTAGTTGTACATAAAACAGTTTCTATCTATTACTAAATACTGTAGATGTTTGAAGCACAGTATTTTCACAGATTCATTGGTAAAACGATTCAGATAGACTATTAGTTGGTTGATTAATGTTTGTTGTATCGAGAACAATTTGAATTGTTCATTTTCATATTTCAATGTTCAATAGTTCAAAGTAAACAACAGAATGAATTATTTTTTCCAAGATATGCCTCTTTGATAAGTCTCAACTAGTTCATAGTTTACTATTGACTATTCCCAACCAATTAACACGTTATCTTCCACATTACAATGTTATATCACTTGAACTAATGGTTGCATTATAACTCGAAAGAATTCGATCATTAATAAGACAGACAATACATTACCTAATGTTCATTGATTAATTAGTATTTTATAATTTACTGTTTGTATATATAAATTTCTAAATTGTTTAGCCGTTAAATTTAGAACCTGAATCTCGTTTAGTTCAATGGGAGAACTCGGTATACTCATCACTTGATATAAATCGTCCAGGTGTAAGTCTAATGGCTAGTGATGGTTTCCTGTATAGTGCCGGTTGGTTTCATGGAGCAATGCGTATACATCGTTCAAGATTACCAAATTTTGATGGAAAAGCTAACTGGAATCAATTCTTGGCAACCCCACCAGATGAGATGTTTTTAAAAGGTAATTCAATTGATTTACTTTGCTTTGATAAACCAATCGATCCAAAAGATTTACCTTGCTTAAGAAACACATTGTTTGATAATATAACTTCAGATAGAAAAACTGACAGAAAATCAAATATGCTTAAAAAGGTATTTTGTCCAAGTTTCATCATCAATAAGATGTATTCATTTCGTTTTGTAAATTTAAAAGAAGCATTTAGTTCACTCACTGGGGATGTACGCATTTCATTTAGTTTGTACTTAGCCAAATACTGTGATGAGAATTAACTATAAATCAATTAAACTTAAACTTATATTTGAAATTAGAGGGAATTATGTATTCTTAGGATACGTATGACAATTAGGAACGAATAGTATTGAAACATTTAAAGTGTGCAGAGTTTAAAATGATCATTTACAACAATCAAACAAAGTTGTCATACAAGCACATGTATCATCTCATTTCACAATTCCGTTTTATCTAATTATTAACAGTATTCAGTAGCACATTTTATTCGACTCACTTTTATCTATCAGTCGTATTTGTTAAACAAATAACCATAATATTCAATATTATTGGCATGTTATAGTTTCACTCTTGACTTGATTAACTAGACTTCAACTTCTTGGGGTATACAACTTGAAATTAGTTATTAATGTACATATGATTATTATTTTGCCAAAATCAATAATAAATATGAATATAATATTTTATTCTTATATATCAACCCCAATACAGAATCAACTCATTTCATTTGTTCATTTGAAACATCGGATTCAGTTTATTTCTTAATTCGTGAACTGAAATCACCAACATGTGAAGCTAGAATTCACAATCGTTTTGTACAAACATCTAGCTCTTCTATTGATATAGATAATGATCAATTTTCCGCCTCCTCCTCGTCATCATCATTTTCAAAGTCTTCACTTTTGTCAATCAATGAAACACCAGTTACTCGCCTATTACGTATATGTAAAAATGATCCAGGTGGATATCATTATGTGAATGAAGGTGAATTTGTTACATTTAGTAAAGTGACATTAGAATGTAAATTTCATCAAAATCATCCAATTCATTATTATAACTACAAAACAAGAAATAAAAATGAACAATTCGCAGATTCGTTAATGACTGAATTTTCTTATGGTTATTCCATAGCTGGTAAATGGGATCCTTTAGATAATAAATTATATGTTAGCTATCAAACTGGCATGTAAGTTTTTGTGTCATTTTTACTTGTAGTTTATATCACTTGGAATTTTGTTTTGCTTCAATGAAACTTATAAACTTTAATCTTATCTATTAGGGTAAGACAAATACTGCTGTGATTATGTTCACACTGGTGACCAGTTTGGAGACTTGTCCATGAAGTTCTAGTTAGAATCTATGACCATTTGGAGAACGTAAAACTTATCACTAACAATATTCCACGACTTTCATATTATTTCAGGAAAAGACCTAAGTTTAGAAAGTAAAGTCTTAGTTTTCGGCAGTGACATAACCACTGGGAGACATAAAAATTCTGAACCCAATCTCTAGTGAAATTATATGTGCCCGCTGTCTTAACTAAAATGCGTCTTCAGTTTATAAGTAAAATAAAATTTCAATAAAATTATAACTCTGCCTATGATTTGTTTTTGGTTAAGATAGACATAACGGTTAAAAAAAATCGTTTGCTGAATGTGCTATGAGTTTTCATAACTAAATTGTAACTTTCTGTACTTGTGTCATTTCTTCAGCCTCGTCTTCTATATATAGCTGTCATTTTATACTTTCTCACTCTTAATAGTGATATATCCTTCTTTCTCCATGATTCACTGATACTTATCGAAAACTGTATTTTCTAACATATTTATCGTCTTGCAGTTGCATACTTTCTACTTCTTGTGAATGATCTGGACCTTATCAAATCTAATCATTTTCATCCAGTTGTTTGTGTTTTGACTGTACAGAGCCTTGACTTTAGTCGTTTATGATATGTTTCGTTTTTTGCTTTGAACATTCATCAGCATTCATTTTAACTTGTTGGACCCATTATGTTCGAGCTATTTTCTAACAGAAAACGCTGTCCTCGAATTTTGTTGATTTGTTTTATAGTACCGCATTTAGATTTTCGGCTTGTATTTCGGAACATTCAAAATGCAATTATAATATTTAAAACAGATCAAGCCGTTATTATGAGAACAGTTTTACTGTCTAGTTCGATTATTGTCTTTAGGATAGGTGTTCTGTTTTACTTATTGATACATTAACCGATGATCAGTGATCAAAACCTCAAAGACTATTGATCAGTAGCTTCCGGTGGTCAGTCAGATGAAGGAGGTAGAAAGCAGATTTATTCACTGTTGTTTTTCCCTACTCATTAATGACTCAGAATCTACATAAAACTTTGCTTCAATTACCCGATCTCGCAGCACGCAAATCAGAAATTACAATGTACAAAAAGGAAACAATAGGGAAATAATTAACTATAAATCTTGAATAATAAATATGACACATACTAAAGGTTTATGGGTCAAAGAAAATTTATATAAATGGTGTTATAAATCTCTGTTAATAAACCCAGCTATTCCTATGGCTTAGTATTCTCTGACAACAATACACTCGACAAGTACCCAAAGTAGAACACGGTTGAACAGGAAAAGATTAGATTCGAAATAGCAAGGTTAAGTGGAAGTAAGAAGCCGAAACGAAGGCGAAAAAGGAACGTTAGTCTCTTTATAGTTTTTACATGAGAAGCTTCTGGACTGTACTCCAAGTATCGACCAGACGCTGATTGTGTAGGAATGAGCCAGTCAGCGCGCAGCTAACGCAGTCATGCTTTAATCCATTCATGTCCCCTCGAACATATGGGAATGTAGAAATACGATAATTCAAGTGTTTAATAACCATACAACAAACATACCAACGATAATTTCTCAGCCTTGCTTCAATTCTCATTGATAAAATACTATCCTAGTTAAGTGTGGTATCTTCTGAATATAACGTTTTCATGGGATTTCCACTCTAAGTTTAACTATAATACCATTTCTTGTTATAAAGTTTATACTCTCAATTTTTTGTAGGATATTAGGCAAGATAAACTACGAACCTCTTGACTAAGCCAAAGTGTTTACAATTAATTACATTTACGCTTAGAAAAAGAAACCGCCATCATCTTGAACACAATAAAATATCCTAAAATAAGTCTAAATATTAATAAAGTTTCAGAATGATCTAACAACTTGCCATATAAAAATAAGCTGTTTTATTAGAATCCTAAACTAACTTCATATCGAAAAAAAGATAAATGGTGTAAATTTTACTGCATACATACTCAAATAATTGCAAGACTTACATTTAGTCGGAGCTAAATCAATGAACAGAATAATCCGAACAATGTAACAATGTTCCGTACCAGTTACAACAGACGGATTTATGTACTAGTCAGAACTCTACCTTTTTTCAAAATACATCTCACTTAACATTTGAAACCAAAGTAATTTTTTGACTATAGACTAACTCAGTCGGTTTAATTTTGGCAATTATATTACGGTAAAGTCACTATCATTATAGAAGTTGGTTATTTCAACAGATATACAATTATAATCGTACTGCACACTATTGGATTACATGGTGGGTACCTAAATAAAATTGTATCATAGTAAGTAACTGTACTACTAAACAATATCAAATATCTGCATATTTTAAATGACGTAATAAAATCTAGTCGTACGGTGTCCAGTTACGTTATTTCAGAGGACTGATCTTGTTCTAAAATTTTAGTTGCAATATCGCTACTGATTTAATTCAATGATGCAGGATGTGGTCGCTAATCCCATGCCCAACCCTCCTGTATCCAGGCTTGGGACCGGCAGTAGTCCCAAAGAGGCTCCAAGCGGCAATCTCTACAGCAGTAGATCTCAACATACACAAAGAGCAAAGCAAGATCCTTCAAAACAACACAATATGCACCAACCCAATCACACTTGATAGAGAAGCACTGGAAGATGTGTAGACATTTACGTATCCGAGCACTCTCACTGTAGAAAAAAAGGGATCTGATGCAGATGTGAAGACGCGGATCGGAAGAACGAGGGCAGCATTTCTTCAAGTAAAGAACGTCTGGAACTCAAAACAACCATCAACCAACACTAAAGCCACAATTTTCAATACGAATATCAAGATGGTTCTATTGTATGAAGCAAAAACTTGGAGAAACACGAAAGCCATCCTCTGAAAGATACGAGTGTTTATTAACGGTTGAGAATCTGTTGGCCAGACACTATCAGTAACAACCTACTGTGGGACAGAACAAACCAAACCCCAGCAGAAGAAGAAATCATGAAGGAACGTTAGCATTGGATAGGACACACATTGAGAGAAGCACTCAGCTGCTTTACAAGACAAGATCTCACTTGGATTCCTCAAGGGCAAAGGAAAAGAGGAAGACCAAAGAACATACTACGCCAAGAATTGGAAACAGACATGAAAAAATGAATAACAATCGAATGGAATTTAAAAAAGGCCCAGCACAGTGCAGACTGGAGAATGCTGGTCGGCTGCCTATGCTCCACTAGGGATAAAAGGTATAAGTAAGTAAAAGTAAGTATTGAACACTGTCTGTAAAAAATTAAAGCTTGAGTCATAGGAGATACGATATTCAAAAGAGACTGTGCTCATTGTGAAAATTGAAAATGGTTCGTAAAACTAGAAATCCAACCAGAACACTGCTCTTTTTCATTTTAAAGTTGTCGACAAAATATCGTGAATTGTTTTATGCTCAGAAAAAGGGACTGTTTAATTATGAAGCAATAATTAATTACCTTTCGGCAAAAATCTTTTCTTCATTTCATTGTACAATTCGATATATGTAACATGAATCATTTTACAACTTACAAGTTCCTTATTATCAAAATCATTTCTGACAACTATTACTGTCTTACGTATTTGTAACAGCCTTCACATAATATATCCATTTAATCTTATCATAAGACTATAAAGTCTACTAATAATGAATTCGTTCACGCCTACTTCACCAGTGAACTTCTCTTTACCAATGGCAAAATTGACGGTATACAACGGCCGGATATCTTAGTTCCCGTTAGTGCAAAGCAACCACTCACAGTCAAAAGGCTAAAGAAGCATAACAATATGCGTTCTATTATTCAGACCTAAATAACTCTCAAGAATGCACATCGTTTACGAGACCACAATGCGTTACAAATGAGAAGCTATTGTTTCAACATAACTAAGTCGTTAATGATCCATCCTGAACAAATTATTAGACTGTCTACCAGTAATTCAGAAACGCTTATATATATATGTCAACTGTTAATAAATTATATAAAGGTTTATAATTAGGATACCATATTAGATAAGTTAAAAAATTACCTAACAAAAATAAGTATGATAATTCACCGTGTAATCACTACAAAAGTTTCTCTTTTATAAATATTTACCCTTGTATAACAATATTCATTAAAATGTCTATTTATTTTGAATTACTTTTACTTAAATATAGTAAATATCCTATTGGTGATGCACTTTGTGTTTATGCATTAAATGATATAGAAGATGCATTCAATAGTGAGTTAGCACCAAATGAAAATTTGGAAAAAACTCAAATACTGCCAAATTCTTTTGAAAATATTGTAAGTTATAGATAACTTGTAAATTGTTACATTGCCAGTGTAAATAATTGTTTACTTGTAAATGCATCTATCTGCATTAGAATTTAGTAGCTTGGTTATTGTTGCAAACTATTAAATATAATTTCTGAAAGGGTCTCTGATAATATGTTACGCTTATAATATGGTTGGTGGGTCAATGGTTGTAATACCAAATAGATAAACCGATAGTGAATAAATGATAAGTTTTACTTACAACTTCATTTAAGTGTTTTCGTATAAATTATATGCTTCAAACTGTGTGTACAATCTTGGATCAAAACCAAGTATTATTAGTAACATATTAGTAATACAAAATTTTCAGTGTAGGATTGTGGAAATTAGAGAGTTTTATTAAGTTCTTGAACTGATCAATGTTATTTTACCATTCAAAACACAGAAGCACAAAGTGACCTTTTCTTCCTCGTGTGTGACTTGTCAATAGTGTGGATTCACGACCCCACAAGTAATAATCGAACCAATAAACTTCAGACTCACTAACGACCAGTGAATTTTAACCATGTCTGGTGTGAGGCAGTTGCTCAATAAGGTCTATATATGAAGTCGCGCAATATTATGAATTGCTTGAAGTTGGACAACACTGTTAGATGCCCATTCAGTGGTTAAGAGGTCGAGAGTTCTCGCATGAGACCGAAGGTTCTGGGTTCAATTCCTGGTAGCCAAGGTGTGGATTTTTAATTCTGAAAAGTCCGACGCGAGGATGAAATGACTGTTTAGTGCTTACGAGATTGCGATGACGATATACCCTTGATCGGTTCATGATTTAAATGAAACAAAGGACTTGTTTATGAACTTCTAGTTATATATATGAGATTATGCAGCTTTAAGAATGAATCCGTTTATAGAGTTTTATTGTTACTTAACGGTTATATTCAAATCAGTTACCGTAATATTTTATTTTTCTTTCGTAACTGTAAATCCACTAACTTCGTTGATTTTTGTCACACGATTAACATCTTACGGAAATTTTTAAAATTTCAAACGTTCAGTTAAAACACCACAAAACTGGATGAGTGGTCACAGATTGAATTAAATAGGAACTTGGGCAACCAGTTTATAAACTATCGATGTAATATTCTAATTGTATAAATATTAATTAAGTAGACTATCAGGTATACATATTCCCTTCGGCATAAGTTTTCTATTAACCCATAAATTATTATCATACTATTTATTATTCCTACTTTTTTGATAGTTTGTAATTTGCAGTGATTCCCTACCCAAAGACACTTTTAGCTCACTCACGTATTGTTGTCAATTTCCATTTGTTGGTGAGATATGTTCTGGTTATGTGTATGTATAAAGGACCGTTTGAAGCATAGTGACAAATCTTGAACTGGTGATAACTGGTCTTCACTCATCCTCTTCGGTTAGTCAAGTTAGGATTGGACCGTCCTTCAAGTATAAAGTAGCACATCTTGCGTCCTTGTTACGAACTGGTTACTCAAAAATCCTCTTAAGTACTGGTCAGTGTAAGAGCACAACCAGAACTGAAAACAGATCATTCTTTTGGCATGTCTGCAGTTTGTTTGGATTGACGTGATAAAAACCAGTCTATCACAGAAGTTTTAGAGCGAATGAATCATGGTTAACAGTTCATTAGAGAATACGCTTTCAACCTTATTTTGGACTCGTCTGCTGGATATACGTAAATCTCAAAGTTGAAATTGACAATGAGATTCGAAACCAGTAGTTTTTTCTCAAAACTCTAATACATTATCCACTGGTTATCGAATTCAAATAACCGACAACCTGTCAAAGATATCATGGAAGTTAAAGGTTTAAAAAAATCTAAAATTAAGATAATGCCTACCTAAGTCTTATATTTCCTAGTTTTTAAGTAAATCTGCCTAACAGTAAATCAGCTTAATGTTTCTTAATATCGTTATGTTTAACTGTGACTTCATTCTATCTACACTTTGTTTTTGCGTAAACATTTTATTCAGTGTAAAAATTTGAATTCTGGTCAGTTGACAGATTCAGATATAGATAAAATACGTCAACTACCAAAAACTCATTTATTACGCGTTAAGCATGTGCATCCAATTGATAATCGTCCATTAATTATTCGCCCTGTCCCAGGATTACCATTTAAACAAAACAATCATCAATTAGGCTGGTATCATATAGAAATTGATCATAATGACAAAAATGTTATCTTGTATTTGGCTGGTAAACAACACATTGAACGTTATGGATTATTTAACTTATCTACGGATGATACAATGGAAATATGTCCTTGGGATCGATTGACCATTGAAGATTTTGGCATAGAAAATGAAGTGATTACTGGTGTTTATATGAAACATAGCAAACCAGTGAGTTTTTGAAAATAAATTAACAGTGTTTATCATTGATATAGTTTTATCTAAAAAATTAGTATTTCTTATTGTACCTGAGCTTCTATATTCATGTTTGAGATTCATGTGAAACCGGATATTGAAAAAAAATTGGCTCCATTACCTAAGGATGTATTTAGATTTTTTTACAAACCACAATCTGTGAGGTATCTACAGCAATGAACGCATCTGTAATTCTAGAATGAGAAAGATCGCTTACACTAATAACATGAAGAATGGCTACAAGATACGACAGAGTAAATGACATCTAATGGCTGTCTATTGTTAATGGCAGTTCATGGAAAACTAAACAGGAAACTAGGAGCCAAAGAAAATGGGAACCGTTTGGCTTAAGCAGAGATCCAAGGAATATAAAAAAACTGAGGATAGCAGATACAAGGGCTGAATAAGAGCAATTTCGATGATTAATACAGTAAATGCTATTAGTTAATATTAATATTTTAGGATATCATCATACTCCTAGAAATTATTACGAGTATGATTGTCTACTGAATAATTAGAGGTAGTATGAAGCAATACACATAACGAAATGAATGGAAAGGTAATACGGATCGAGAACGCAAATGAATATATGCAGCAATTTACTTAAAGTTAATTTTAGGCGAAATGTTCGCCAATTTGTTAGTTATATATTCGCGGATTAAGAGTACACAAAAGTGTAACTAAATATCTAGTTTTAGTGAGAGTTCATAATAGATTGTTGTCAACTGCATGACAAGCGAAAACCAGGTAACACTGAATATCTGTTAAACTCAATATCTCTGAGTGATTAAAAATGAAATATAATTAATCATATGCCAACTCACTGGTTTGGTAGTAAAGCGTCTTCAGAAATACTAGAAAGTTCTGGATTCGATCTCTGGTTGATTGTCAGTAGACTAAAGTAAAACCACACACAATGATGAAATAGCCTCCTGGTATATCTTGCTTCTCAACATTTAGCCAGTTCAAATCAGTCTATGGCCAAAATCAACCTCTTCTCTAAACTCTTCAACAAGCACCAATTTACATTTATGATGATGTGTTCAACATAAAATAGTTTTTATTCCTAACTATCGTCAAAACTATCTAAGACCTGAGAGTATAGGACAACTATGTTATCGGCGTTTCGATGCTATTATTCATGCGTTCTTCTTCAGTAGTTCAGGAATTCCATGAGATTGATTTAGGTTGAAAAGGATTTACTAAAGTGATATTCCTTTGTTTGATTTACTTTGTCCGTATTTAATATTGAATATGATCAATACAAGTATACAATTTTGATATTAGCCAAGAATGAAATTTACATTTTACGTTTTGATCGATTTCTGGACTCATTAGGTAGAATAATTTACGAAACACTAAATCTTATCAACATTGAAGCATGAATTTCTTTACAAAAGAATAGTAATAGTTGTATTAGTTTATCATTTTTGTCGATTAATATCCGTTGCCTTATATATATCCTGAGTGTATTGACTTGATACAAAGTTACGTTACGAGTTTCAGTATATGCGGTATGTGGGTAACATTGCATACCTTCAGTGACTGTTTCAACTCACGGGCTTAATAGATAACGAGTCGGGCATTGGGAGTAAAAGGCATCGGATTTGAGTTCCATTGCGAATATTAGCACTGGGATACAGTTACATTGATTTGATGAGTCCCAGGTAAGATTAAATGGGACTCCTGAGTTCGACACATAATAAATAGACTAGAAATGATAAGAACTTTTAAAACATCAATTTAAGACTCGACTGATTTCATTTTATTTGTTTTTTCTAAGTATACTATATTTTTCTCCAAAAGTATGTTTAAAAAATGCTTTGATTTAAGATTATGGGTATGAAAAATTTTCAAGATTTTCTGAATCTTATTGGTACTAAACATGATAATTTTATCAGTAGTGATGTGGATAGATGAAGCATAAAACTGATAGCAAAGTAGATTATAATGCTATATATTTTATAGAAAGACATGGCTTAAGCACGTACAAAAAGGATAGTTCACTATGAACAGAAAGTTTATAGATTTGTAATATTTTATGACCGAATACATGGTAGTGAAAACACTATCGAGTCTAATTGTTTACATTCTATCATTTATCTGAACTGAACTTGATTATTCATGAACGTTTAGAGTACAATTATAAAATTGTTTATTTCTCATTGAGATTTAAAACAAGTAAGGAAATTCGTTAACATTTCTCCCTGCAATCTGTGAGTGAATACTAATGACGATATCCAGTCAATTAGACAAATCACCATATAATTTCTTTGCTTTTCAACGATAATTTATTTAATATTAGTGTATAAAGCAGGTAATTTTTAAATTTATTACTTTATAAACTGTGTTTAATTCTTTTCTTTTTTTTATCCAACTTATTTCATTTATTTTACAATGATTACTATTTAATTAGTCAATGGAAAAATGGAGTAAAGAGTTTTATATACTAACAAGTAAACATGTGATTCAACTACCTAAATTTATTCAATTATGTGAAACAATTAAAAAGTCAAGTGAATGTATCAACACCAATTTAATTTCATGCAAATGGAATAGTGAAATGAATAAATGTGAAGTAAAAACTACATCATCATTAAATTATGATGATGTATTAACAAATAATTTACAAAAAAAAGAAAGTTATAAAAATCAACATGAAATTTTGCTCAATAATATTTTATCGAAATTTTCTACATCAAATCCAAATTTTTGTTTGTTCGATAAAAACAAACTTGAAAAAAGTATCCATGATAAATTGCTTGCCTATTGGTGGAAAAGTCTTCAAGGTCATTTGCAGCAACAACAACAACACACTTCGACAAATCAACAAAATGAATTAATTCAAAACAACCACTTACCAATTCCTTGTACAATGTCAACATGGTCACCGCTAATAAATCAATATCAGAATCTTACTTGTCACTGTCTACCATGTACTGATTGTGCGAATGATGAATTGTATAGAATGGAGTTCATTAATTGTCAAAGTAAGATCCTAGATACATTATTTTATTTTCGCAGTGACAGATTTTCATATTTTTTTGTCAACAACTATTAAATATCTTGACATAATGAAAATATTCCGAAGTGTCAATAACAGTAAAACATCAAGGATAAAAGAGCATCAGAAATTTACAATAATAAACAGATTTCAACTTTATGCTAAGATAATTCAAAAAATAAATTGCAAATAAGAGAAAAAATATTGAAATCTAATAGAATTAGTTTCGAATTCTAAATGATTAAACGGCAATGAATAGTTCCTGATAAAATTATAAACCTGATACGCTTGTGCACTGAGCTAATCATTTACGATTCTAACTTTAACACGATGAACGAGACTGATTCTATCCTTTTATTCTTGACCGATTAGCTGAAGTAAGAATTTCAAGCTATTTCAAAAGATATTCCAGAAGTATTAAACAACATTCCAGTTCCTTCATGTTAAATACGATCATTAAATGTCTAACAATTATCATGCGATTGTCATTGAACATAAAAACGATTAAATAATTATTTAAAGTTAAGCGAGCTAAAAATCCTTTTATTTAATGAACAGGTTTCATGATTGATTTGCTTTTATATGTGTTGTATTAGATGATATGAAATCTTTAATAAACGGAAAACAAATTACGTTTGTGAAAACTGTTAATGTTTCCGGAGGGTGTCATCAATGATACAGATATGTACAGATATGTAGATCATATCTGATGTATAGTTTTACTGTCATTTCTATGAACAACACATATAAACGAACAATATTGTTTTCGATTAGATCGTCATCAGGTCACATTGAAGATAAATCTAGATCTTTTCGGGTGATCTATCGTATACCTTCATCATTTCCCAACGGAGTTCGATCCTGTCTCCTACATATTGCAGAAGCCATGGGAATACGTACATTCAACCCTAATTTATGTGTTCAGAAGAAATTCGTGATACCCCTATCTCTTCCGTGGCCGGATATGACGTAACTAACGATTGACATTATATTTTTTATTTTATTTTTATTTTTACACATTTACTTATTACGTAATGTTTTTGATGTTTTTTGATGATTATCTGAATTCTATTCATCCACCTTTGACCTACTTTAGTTATCATATTTTATAAATTTTCCTACTACTATCTGTTCACCTATCTTCCTACTATCCACTTGTACTTTTGCCTTCTTCATTTCATTGTGATTATCACTCAAATTGCCTTGATTGGTTTTAACATTTTCATATAAATATCCATGTATATCAGAGTAAAGCCTGATGACGATCTAATCGAAAACAATATTGTTCGCATATATGTGTTGTTCTAATTTTCACAATGGGAATCTTTAATATTTCTATGAACAACGAAAACTTGTGCATTTTAGTTGATTATTTAATTGATCTTGTAATCTTTTTCCTTATGTCTTCTCTCAGTTCAGCCAACATGGTCACTCTGGTCATCATGGTCTTCTTGTTCATCAGACTGTGGTCATGGAATACGCACGCGTATGCGACGATGTGATAGTCCACAGCCTGTAGAAATGAAGATCAATAACCAAATCACTAAAAAAATAATTGGATGTAAACATAGTTATGATATTCCAGTCGATGAAAATACTGATGAGCCTGAAGTTGAACTACAGGTTGAGCAATGTCAAAATACTAATGAAGTTTGTAATTATGGTGAGTAGTATTTTAGGTAGATAATCATCTTGTTTTGTGTTGAACAGTTTTATGGTTTATTTGAAAGTTCTAAGTTTTGGCAGCAACCATTATGTTACTGACTACAAGGTCAGATTCTAACCAGGAGCTACTCAATGAATATTGAACTTCGGACAGTGGAATAGCTTCTAGTTACACTACAGAAGATCTTGAAGGTCTACAGATCTTTCGAAATAGTTTTTAACTCAATAACACTTTATAATTTTGACCGACTCTATCATAATAAGTGATAACCACTTCATTTTCTGGAAGTTACAGAAATTTATCACGAAGCATTAACTAGCTAAGCATATCTCTCCTTACGTTCCCTATCTACAAGGCTTGCAGGGATAATCGCTCCCAATCCATGGTATAACTATCTTATATGGTCTTACGATGTTATTTGGATCTCAGAGTTTATGGTTCATTGCTCTATCCACTATGGTACGGAACTGTCGATTATCGTATCGCAGTTTATTCTCAAAATAATATTATAACAAATGAATATACAACTTTCCTGATTACATTGTTCTAGAAAAATAATTGAATTTATATCTGGAGATAATATTTTACAGAAGAATACAATAAACATGATGATGAGCGAAAACTGAGAATCTATTCCATTTCCTAATTATATTCCTCAAAAGTAAATACTATAACCACCATATCAATTGAACCTTAGAAGTTTAATTTCATTGTGAACCTCTAGGGTTTGACCTGTTCAGTGAGATTCGATAAACAAGCTGACATATCTTTAAACTGAACATATTTTGGTGTCTTTTTTAGAGCTTAATGTTTAAGATTAGTGGACAATATATGCTTCACTTTAGCTCAAGTAAACTAGTAAATAAAATTTTTGTTAATTAGAATTACGTTAAATATCTTATTTGTTTAATCATATTATTAGTTTCCTAATGATTTATAAAAGCCGAAGACAAGAGAATAACTAATGGTATTAGTTTTAATGTTGTTAAATTATCTGAATTAGATGGTCCACCATATCAAGACGGTATTGATCCGCAACTGCATTAGTAAACGATCGATTTGTATCACATAGTGAGAGTAATCTTAAAACTCATTAGGAATTACGAGTCATTGAGAGGCACTAATGTTGTAGTTTGAGACTCTCTAAGTGAGTGAACCGAACGAGAACGAATCCGGAAACTTCAAGCATCGCTACCGGGACATATTTAAAGGGCTAAGTTATAGTCGAAAACACTTAAATTACCGACTTCTATATGCTTGTGATACAGTACCATCTTCGTGTTGTTAAATGCATGAGATAGTATTTTGCTCTTGAAATATGAGATATTCAACCTCAAAAGTATGGCTTTGTAGTGCCTCCACGTATATTCCAGTTCGCTTATATTTAATTTGGTCAAGCCCTTCCGATTAATTTATTTAACCAAGCCGTTTGTATTGCAACAATTTATATGTCCCATTCGTTCTTATTATTGTCTGGTTTGTATGAGCTCACATGACGTGTCCCACTTGTCATTTGACCTTGTCAACTATTTGTCGCTTTTATTCATGTGTGCCTATTTCGCTTGTCACATGTCTGTCTTATATTTATCTGACTATTTATTGTTAGTCACGCTCTATCTCTTGGAGTTGGCTCATTAGCCTTCTGCAACGCGCTTCTCCTGTTCGTTCGCTCCCATCGCCCATCCGTTCGCATTGTAATCCTGGGAGTTGGCTCAACAGCCTTCTCCAATTCACGTCGCTTCATCTCTTTTATTCACTGCTTCTTCGATTCGTTTTGTCGTGTGTCAAAAATAAACGTATTCAACACTTTGTGTTCACCTTCTGATTTATAAACCGTCAGACGCTATTTAGTAACGATTGACTGGGCGAGCTAATCGCGAAGATTAATAACACGCAGTAAATCAACACACTACAGCTTATTAGAAAACAAGCAAATAGCTCAAGGTGAAATCGACAGTGATACAGTTAAAACTTCAAGTTCTGTTTACTATTCCAACTGATAAGTTTATACTAAGTATAGCTGGTATTAAGTTTCAAAATAATATGAACACTTAACTACTTCATTTTCAATAATATCAATTAAAAAATAGCAATAATTCTTGATGATCGATAATTTAGATTTCTTTCAAAAATAATGATAATGAGTGTCGTTATTTTTTCTTCTTTTACCAAATTAACCTTTATTCCAACAATAATAACAACAAAAAAAATCATTCAGTAGAAGTCTCTTCACCAGTTCTCTCGGAAAAACAAACATATCATTTAGGTGAAACTTATCTAAAATGGAATCATTGGACAGAATGTTCTACTAAATGTGGAATTGGTATCAAAACACGTCATTTAATTTGTTCAACAGTTATGAATAAATGGGATGAAAGTGAACATTCAAAATGTTCTATTGTAAATTCCGAAACAATAGATACAAGTATATGTGAGAATTTCACATGTCAGCGTAAGTGATTTCGTTCTCAATTCAAATGAATCATTAAAAATTTTTTGATATTATTTTTAAATGCCCTATTAAATTTTTAAGGATTTGAACTTGAATCTTGTTGTACCTTTGTCTCATTTACCCCTAGACCAATCAAAAATGTAGTTTTTATCGCCCAATGGAGAGCCTGCTTTCAGATGACTAAGAACCGTTAACTTGAAAGAGCAACATTTCATAAATCTCATTACCGTAGTTAGTTGTTCCACATATTTATGTCGAGCAAAAACGAAACAGTGAATATATTTCTAGCGGTGTTTGTTAGCAATCAATTTTCAACTGAGGAAGAGTTAGCCACATAAGTGATAATTTACAGGAATCAAGCTTTCTGATTTCCACCATGATAAAAATTAAACTCTTCGATTCAACCTTATGAACAAGTGGAACTCAGTAAACAGATTCAATAACAGTACTGTCTTTATTCGTAGACCATATGATAGTTAATTAGTATTTCAACACAGAAGATTTACCTTATCATGTTGGCAGATGTAGGCTACCTGGTTAGGGTCCGCGAGACGAAAGTCACCGATGGTTAGAGACCTTGAATGATATGGCTCAAAATCGTTTGCAGTGGGGCAGGTGCATCCACTCTTTGTGTTCTCTCAAATCCTAATCTTCTGGATTCCTCATCACCTCTATCTTTCTCTTTCTAAATTTACCAAACTGAATCATACTTTTTGAATAACATCTTCGAACCCTAGTCTTTCCAATTACTTCTGATGCTTTTACTATCTCTACTATTATGGTATTTGAGTTGATAAGGGCGTCTCTGTGCTAATGTGGCGTTGCAACCTGAAGTGATGTACTTACGTACGAAGTTCTACGTTGTAATTGAGTGAGTGAGTAAGTGAGATCATTGTTAATGTTTTCAAACAGAAAGCAATTAAGAGCTTGAAATATATTTTACTTAAAGGCTCTTAATTTTGATTGCACTAAAATGTGATAGTAAAACCTTTGTAGAGTAAATTTAGTGAAATTTAACAATGTCGACATCAGAATAAACTATTTTCCTTGAAAATATAATAGTTTTATCAAAACCATGCATTTAAAAATGTCACTGACATAGTTGAATACAGGCGAAAATTCTTGAAAAATATCTATTTGAATTGCTAATAATACTTGATGTATATAACTCATTTTTACTGTAGTTTAGTGAGTTCAAACAACTATTTATTTATATACTACTGATTTCCTATGTTGGTTATTTTCATCTAGTTTATTGTATGTTCAGTATGTTCTTGTAGAATATCCATTGAAAAATCTATCGAAATTTTTTTCCATTAAGTCATAGTTCTTTTTTTATTTTAATATTACATATGATTAAATCAATAACTTGTAAATACTAAATACATCATTATTATGTTCATAAGTAAAAATTTTATCATAAATTCATAATGGACACTTATTTACAATATTATACTTATTACTCCTATACAACTGCACATCAAGTTTCCATTGAGCTTAGTTATTTTTTTTTCAAACAATTAACCATAAGATTTGAACAAATTCACTGATTAGATAGTTTACATGAGAAAACAATTACTAACCACTCAAATAAGCCAAATTTTAAAAGGTATAAAAATTCAATCCAAGCCCAGATTATCAGAATGCAGTTCTCCGCCATACTGTCTTGCCTGACGGCCAAAAATAGGACAGCACAAATAGATAGTTCAATTTTATAACTCATGATTTGGTATAAATTAATTACTTGACCACATAACACGAGAAATAAGAAAATACAATTCATATATGGCTACTTTTTTAAGTGAAGAGGATTGGAATAATGGATCCGCAATAAATTAACAATAACTAAAGGAATGTAATACATAGAACAATAGTTTATGCACCACAAAACACTTTATTACTAGAGGAATACAACAATACAGTAATTCAATCATTCGATAAATATACAAATATACAGTTTTATTTAATATCTGCCTTGTTATAGTAGTCTGACACTGCATATTTAAACGTCTTAAGTATAGATGATGTCATGAGTAGCTAATGATTTTTAATAGATTAAAATCGTTTCTGATGTAGTTTCTTTTTTTAATTTTAATCATGTAGAAGAAATCGTTCATTCAGAATGGACACCTTGGTTAAAAGCATTGCCTAATAATCCGCATATATTAAAATATACTACAATACCTGGTCGTTCAAATTCACAAGTATATTATGAACAACGTCTTCGTTATTCATGTAATGTACCATTTGAAACAGCTGATGATTTACAAATTGTTAGAACACAAATTGTTGAAAGAAAGTGTTCCAGTACTGATCATAAGTGTTCTGATGTATCAAGTAAGTTTAGTGCTTTTACATCACATAATTCAATGAAGACTATCATACTACTCGTTCATTGTTATGTTTACATTTAATCTGCATATGACACTGTTGGATTAGAAATGAAACATGTATTTAAGTAGTACATAATCAACAGATGACCGAACAAACACAGAAGGCAGTTTTGTCCTAGTAAGGAACTTCTCAATAGTATTGTTATTGTGTGTGATATTCCGGATCTGAATGTGATACACGATAAACCCCCTAATATTGACTGCTTGAGCGAGAAGGTGAGAGTGGAGTAGAAAGTCGATTGGCTACCGTATCATAAACGTAAATACTCAACTTCTTGAAATCTCTCTGCTTGTCAATTATTTTGAACAACTTTATGGTATCCATGTTGTATGAATTATTCAATGAATATCTATTGGTCGCACCTGGGAACACTTTATTTCGGTTCAAATGCTGCTTTCGATGAATATATTTATAAAACTTTGTTGATGCCTTTCAGTCCTTCATGTGTATTCGTTTTCACAAGTACGTATAAATTCATCTATAGATAACCTTAGAAAGCTAGTGGTTTAAGTAATATCTAGAATCATATACTGAAATTATTTCAGCTGCAAGGAAACTTCGTTTTAGCGCTTTTTCACTTATTTAGTCAATTCCATTTACAATCAATCCCCTATTGACACGTTTGTACATAATAAATAAAAATCACATGATATCATTTATCTGATATATTCACTTGACTGATTTCTTCAAAGAAGCGAAATGTGACTTTTAGGGTATGATTTGTTACTTTTATGTGAATCTATTCCAGTAATTTTGCTAACCTTCAAGCCAAATAATGATGTGGTGAATTTATTGGATGAACTTGATAACTTTGGTACAGATTTTTATTGTAAGAGCAATAAAAGTGAATTTGACAGAAATTCCCTTTTCATGTATTTCGTGATAAGTTACCTTGAAAATGTTTGCCAGATTAATTTACTTCCTGAACATTTTTCTCTTTAGAATAATCAGTAAATGTTGTACACATTTTTTTGTATAAGTCAGTTTTTGTTTCTTCATCATAAACTAATATCTACTCTCTGAGGATTAGTTAAAATAAGCACAATGTTTAACAAATTACTATAAACATGTAAAGTTAGGGGTTATTTCAGTGGTCAGCTTGTTTTTCTTAAACAGCTTAGCTATAGATCGCCAGTAAGTGAAATGATTCAAGTATTTGGTTGATCTCTCAAACTTGTCAACTATTAGGGATGCAGTAGAAGTTAGATGATGAAAGCTTTTTGAGTTAACAACCCAATACTCAATAAATCAATCTATAACTTATCCTTAGAACTCGCTTGCAACTAAAGCTTAATTAGACTGAATTCCAAGTTTTGCTGATCAGTTAGTAGAAACCATAATTATTTCATAATTATCTCCTACAGATAATTTTTATTCGTGTTATTTTACAGATATAATAAATAGTCAAACTGAGGAAGAAAATAGAATTCTTTCAGAATCACTTGAAAGATCTTCAAATGTAATCTGGTCACCATGGAGTGAATGGTCTGAATGTAATCAAAATTGCATTCCATTGGAAAGTATTTTATCAACTGACCAATTAGATAAACAACAAACAAAATTTTCCAGTACAATTCTTTATAACTCAGATCAATATCAAATTCGTACACGTAAATGTCTATCCAATCTATGTTCACAGAATAATGGTTTAGATGCTATCACTGATTTACGCAGATGTCCTTCTAAACCAGCGTGTAAAAGTGGTTGGTCATGTTGGTCTGATTGGTCAAATTGTTTTCCAATGAAATATGATCATGGCAATAAAAAGTCTCAATGTAAATGGCGTAATGATGATCGGAAAGCAACACGTACACGAACTTGTATACTAACACCATATGATCAAAATCCAGAAAAACAGAAAATAATTTGTAAAGGATATGAACAAATGAAAAAACAATGTATTTGGTTTGATGGTGATCAGAAAGACTGTCTTAAGTGTAAGTAAAAAGAATAACTTATTTTTAACTGAATAAAATTATTTATTCTTGTGTGAGGAGTTAAAACGAAATAGTGACTAGTACATATCACAGGGTGATATAGAGGTTACAATAATAATCAACAAAATAATTCAGCAGTTTGCGCTGAATTTAGTGCTGGTTAAATAAGGATCATAAATTTTAGTTTTATGACTTCAGGGATAACACTTCTTGATTACTTGACAGTTTCTTTTCTTGTATAGTCGGATAATCTTTTTGAATGTTTCTGTTCTAACTATAATTGTATAAGCGTATTAGTAAACGCTCGACCTAACTATATAAATATGCATCGTCTATGAAGTTTTATGCTTCTCTTTTTCTCCTGTACAAGACTTCATATTTTCTAGGTGCTTGTAGAATACACTTTCTACTCCATATCAAGACGTTTTGATACCGTTAACAGAGCCTTGGATTGGAGTAGCCTACCATGTCAATGGATCATTTGTCTTAAGCTCTCGTTTACAGACTGAGGTGAACTCGTTATAGTTCAAGTATATCAATTGTCAAGCATAACAGGAGTATTAGTAGCATTTAAACTAGTAATGGGAATTCGTTTGAATGTTTCTCACATATTATACACGTTTTGCTGGTCAGCAACAAATGATGTAAACCCACTACATTTATCTTATGGTAGTGCTTCAACTTCGAAGTAAACCCTGAACATTTCTATGAAATGTTAATGAAAGGTAACATCTGAAAATACTTTAATTCCTGCTTCGACAATAATTAATCTCACTCATTATCCAAAGCGTTACCACCCAGGATTTTTTCCAACTAAAGGCTTAAACAGATTGAATATAGTTTCTGTACTGCCCAACTTTAACTGTCTTTTTAACCTATACTCTTCAAAGGATATTAATTTGATCATTGTATAAACTTTTCTGCACAGCATAATCGACCTTGTTTTAATTTTCAGTTAATTTAACCAGCATATACTCCGATATTCCAATTGATGCAAACACAAATTACCATAAAACTTCAGTATGGAGTAGTTGGTCCACTTGGTCATCATGTGAAGTGCTACAGACACAAACTAGTGGAAATATACTGCGATTCTCAGAGAATTCACTGGATCCAACAAGTCCACATTTACTTGCTATTCGAACAAGAGAATGTCAGTTAATTAATATTGAAAATAGTGAATTGTATTCAGTATATAATCACAGATCAGTTTGTTCTGGCTCGTGGAATCAAATGAAAACTTGTCCAAATGTAGCGATGAATATTGCAGGGGGTACGTTTTGAGTCTAACATATGACCAGAGCATTCATTATCCTGGTTGTTTGCATCTATAGCCCTTGCAAGACTGATTGTTGGTAGACCGAAAAACACGTTCTGCTAAACACTTATAATTTATGCAGATGAAGTTTCATCGCTTTTCAATGATACTGGAGATTTTCACAGATGTGACAGTGTTCAGTCTAACAAGCGATAGTAAAATCACATTTTAGGGTATGTAAAGTCCTGAAGAGAAGAACTTCGAATTATTGCTACTTTGTCCGGCAAATGCACACAGTAAAGTTGTAAAACTTTATTGCCAAAAGTTTAGGGTACCTCAACATTGTCTCCTTCAAAATGCTCTCCAGTTGTGCCAATGCGACTGTTCAATCTCTATTTTTACTGTTCAGAAAACCCCAGGTAGTCCTCAGAAATAAGCTTTTTAACGTTTTGCTAGGATTGTTTGAAGGATAATTTTTCTTAGCTCAGATCATTAGCAACCCTCCGAGTAGCATAGAAGACCTTCACATTTAATGTATTCGTCAACATGAGATATCAATGGTCATCATGGACTGCTCTCTCTCTGAAACACCTGATCCAATGAAGAAAGCTGTTATGTCCATTACTTAATGTCTATAAATATCCCTCCCCGCTTCATAAATTTCCTGGAAATTTCTTTGGAATATCATAAGTATTTAATTTTCAGTAGTTGTTCCGTTTGTTCATCAGACTCCATCGTCATAATGTCTTTGTTGGATCTGTATACGATAATCAGTTTTTAAAACATAAGTTGGTTTAAATAATAAGGGTTTATGAGACAGATATCTTCAGTCAACTGGTTAAGGTTAAACGTACATGCTTCACAGTACTTACTTACACCTGTTACATCCAATGTTGTATAGGCCGCCGACCATCTTGCTCCAACCAACTCTGTCCTGGACTTCCTTTTTCAGTTCTTTCCAATTTTTATTTATTTTTCTCAAATCGTTCTCCATTTCTTGGCGTAATGTGTTCATTGGCCTTTCTCTTTTCCTTTAACCTTGAGGGTTCCAAGTGAGGGCTTGTCATGTGACGCAGTTAGGTGCTTTTCGTAATGTGTGTCCTATCCACTTCCACCACTTCTTCCTGATTTCCTCCTCCACTGGAATCTGGTTTGTTCTCTCCCACAGTACGTTGTTGCTGATGGTGTCTGGCCAACGAATTCGAAGTATTTTGCGTAGACAACTGTTAATAAATACTTTTACCTTCTGGACGATGACTTCGGTAGGTTTCCAAGTTTCTGCCCCATACAGTGGAACTGTCTTGACATTTGTGTTGAAAATCCTGATTTTTGTGTTGATTGATATTTGGATGGAGTTCCAGAAATTTTTCGATTATAGAAATGCAGCTCTTGCTTTGTAAATCCGCGCCCTCACATCTACATCAGACCAACCTCGCGCATCAATGATCCTGCCCATATATATAAAGGTGTTGAGGTCGTTCAAGGCATCTCCACCAAGAGTGATTTGGTTGGTGCATGTTGTGTTGCATCGGAGAATTTTGCTTTTTCCTTTATGTATGTTGAGACCTACTGCTGCAGAGGCTGATACTACACTGGTCGTCTTCTCTTGCATTTGTTGTTGCGTGTGCGATAGAAGAGCCAAGTCATCTGCGAAGTCCAGACCGTCCAGCTGCATCCTGACTGTCCGCTGGAAACCGTGCTTCCTTACAGATGTCGACGTCTTCATAATCCAGTCGATCACGAGGAGAAAGAGAAAGGGTGAGAGTACGAAAAATTGCCTGACACTGGTCTTCACCTCGAACGAGTCTTTGAGTTGTCCTCCATGCACGATTTCGCGGTTGACTGTCTACTAAAGCAAGCTGTGATGCCGAAGAAACCTCCACTGTGTTATCCTGTCCACGCTATCGAATGCTTTCTCGCAATCAATGAAGTCGATATATAATGGTGAGGACTTCCATTCAAATGACTGTTCCACAATGGTCCGCAGTGTTGCGCGCAGTTTGGTCGGTACACAACCGATCTTTACGGAATGCCACCTTCTGATCTCGAAGTGGAGTGTCTACTGGATAGTTATTTAGTTTAACAACACAATTTTAAGGACCTTTCCTAGTATTGAGAGTATAGTGATGCCTTCGCGGTTCTCACACCTGCTGAAGTTTGCTTTATTTAGTATTTAGATGAGGTGTCCTTTCCAGTCTGTTCGTACTTGTTCTTCCTGCTAAATTTTACTGAAGAAAGTGTGGGACATCTTTGTAGTCACTATTATGTCAGCTTTCAAGTGCCTCTTCGGGAATGTTGTCTGGTCGTACTGCTTTTCCTCTGTTGATTTGTGTGATGTCCATGCTGATCTCTTCAATTGTTGGTGGGTCAGCATCAGTTGGACGATTCGTTGGTGGATGATTGGTGTTTTCACTGGGGCCGGTTGATTCAAGAGTTTTTCAAAGTGCTCTGTCCATCTGTTTCACTGTTCTTCAGTGTCTGTGATTGGTTTTTCTTCATTGCTTTTCACTGGTCGTTCTGGTTTACGATTGTTTCCAGCGAGCTTCTTTGTTGTATCGTACAATTATCTCAAATTTCCGTAGCTTGCAGCCTTTTGCGCCGTCATTGCTAGGTCTTCCACATACTTTCGCTTGTCGGCTCTGATGCTCTTCTTCACTTGTCTGTTTGCTTCTGTGTATTCAGCTTCTGCCTCATCTTTCTCTGCTCTTGTTCGGCTGGCATTTATTGCACCATTAGTCCTATAGGGGTTCCAGGCGGAGTTATTCAAAGTTATAATAAAAGTAAATAATTAAAAGTAGCAGTTATGATTATAAAGAAACTAGGACTTCTATTGATGGGTAGTTGAGTAATGATGAACTACTAAGGAGACAATGACCGAAGTTGTAGGAGATTTACGTCCAGTTTAAATATTTGCATGTTTATTTAGATGTTTAATGAACTGATCATGCAAATCTGATTTGGCATGACAAACTTTTAGGTACAATCTGGAGTGTGATCTCTTTATTGAGCCATTTTTTCTGTTTAGGAACTCGAATAGTACCATACCGCTTACATAAATTATAAAAGTCTATAGTCAAGAGGTTAGCGAGATAGTTTATTACTTTGTGACTTAGGGTCATTTCTATTCATAATGAACAATTCAATAAATAATTGCAGAAACGATTAAACATAACCAATTGTTTTAAAATCTTACATTGTTTTTTGTTAACATTTGGACGTCGAAAATCTTTAAAAATCAAACGTGGAAATGGTTTGATGGTGATATAACCTAACCGAGTAATTTCTCTAGAAATTTTTTGTGTACTTCTTAAAAAACTAATTACTACTGAATATCATATCCAACTGAATTAATACATTCGAGTTCGAAATAAAGTCGGTAAATGTTTTGAATTTTTTGGAACAAAGAACTAATATGTGGAAGTGATGACTATGGTTCCATTTTAGTCTGATTCATCCATTATTAAAGCAAACATGTTACTGATAATGATACGGAAATTACAGAACTCGTCACATTGTGTAGCTTAGATGGGATTCCATAATGAGAAGCAACCGATTAAAGATTAACAAATTAAAACAAAATAAACCTGCTACTTGTTAATACTAAGTAACATAATTCAATTACATTAATTTTTGGAGTGAATATTTATGTTTTGTAGCATTCTGATTGACTTAACCTGATCTTTCATTGTTCATTTTAGTGTTTGGTCCTATGAACAGAAAAAGGATGAGAAATAGATTCACAAATCTTCATATAATCTTAATTGGTCTACTAAGTTTTGTTGCCGGGATATTAGTGGCTGGTGTGGGAATAATAATTTACCATAGAGGATGTCATAAACGATATTTGAATAGAAATATTAGTGGTAACAGCAAAAATAATAGGATTAATAGGTTAAAAAATGAATCACTTCCTGAAGGCGATATCAATAATCTACATCCTAATCAGTTGAATTTGTCACCTCCACCCCAGCCTATTCTAACTTTGCCAATACCAAACATTGTAACATCATCTATAAATGATGATCCGCTAAACTATGGGCACCGAAAAGCCCATAGTATTGTTTACGATTCGGTAGCTTCACAAGATGATGTTACTTACTTGGAGCCAAATCGTAATTACCAACAGAAATCTAAAACTGATCAGTTGAATGTATATAGTCGGTTAAATTATAAACCTGATTCTTGTTCTCCAGACGAAGCGTTTCATAGAAGAGTAGCAACAACATCAGAGATAACTACAGTAGATGGAATGTTGAAAAATGATGGATTTCGCAGTTATCCTCGTACAGGCAGAGTTATCACATTGTCCAATCCATTGGATTTTTATGAAGAGAATATTTCTAACTTACCTTTCCAATATTATCATCATACACTTGGTTATCAACCTCATCATCACCAACATCATAATTCCGATCTGCCTACACAATTTTATAGTACAGACATTGAGCATTTACTACGACCAACAGACAGTTACTATGACCGCAGCAAACGTCCAGACGCTACTGTATCTATGTCATTTTCGAGTTATAAGCCGGATGGGCGTTTCAACCAGATAAACGCCGACAATATACAACAATATTCACAATCTCCAGCATTCATCCCTCAAAATCGTCGACAATATCGAAGGAAATCACAGATTCATAATCAAACTATGAGTTCATTATCAACACACTTGGAACCATGGTATGCCTCGGCTGCTATCGGCTTACCGAATAGTAGTAGTAATAGTAAAAGTAACGGTCGAATCATGTCAGATTATGGTACATCACCAATCGACATATCAAATACGCAACAATATCGTCATGAGTACGTCAGCAACCGTGATGAAAACGATTATAACCACCATGAAGAAAGCATTAGATTTCCACCTAAAATGCCAATCTTATCTGAGAGACATAAATTATATGACGTCAACTCACAGTCTAGATTAATACCATCATTGTCAGTATGCTCACATCATTCTTATAGTTCTAACTTTTTAGATGCGGATAACCGATCGTCTGTATGGAGTGGAGGTGAATCAGTTCCTTTTGAAAGACCATCTAATCCACATTTAAGAGAATCGATTGGAGCCTTTGAACACCAGTCACCTTCTCCACCATTACCTCCTTCTCTACCTCACATTGCATTGGGAGCGACCCCTTGCCCTGAACCAATAACAACTAGTTGTACGACACCATGAACTTTGAACCGTAGTGATATTTATTTTTTTAATAACTACTTTTAGGTTAACAAACAAAGCATTGAGCTTTTGTTTTATTTTGTTCTCAAATGTTCTCTCCCCTTATTCTTCTTTCTCCTTGTATACATGTAAGTCTGACTAGCACTAAACATAAAATTGTGTACTTACTTCATGAGTTGTTATTTATGTTTGTGAAGAGCTTTGAACGTCGAGTTGCGTACAGATCTAAATTTTTATGCATAATCTATATTCACTTGTGATAAACACAAAGTTTAGTCCGTAAAATTACAATATAAAACTCATGTTTTCTAGATAAATGTATAAAATGTATCACTCTAAAGGGACAATCATCTGGACATGGAATTTTAATATGTACGACTATCATATCTTATGTAGGATACTAAGATATTATATTAAACACCAATATAAACAAATAAAAAAACGAAGATTACATAGCAAAGATCATTTCAAATAAGAGTTTTATGATTTGTTTACGAGCTTTTTGAGCACTGATTTGACTTGCAGATGGCTTTCATTACAAACTGATATTATCTGGCGAGATATTTAAGACGATGAAGCACAAAATAGGTTATTTGATTATTATGTGAAACCACTACTCATAAGTTGACAGCCTCTAATCCTACACTGAACTAAACTCACCATCTTCAGTCCTCAAATTTACGGTAATACATTTCTCGTATTAGGTCAAAAAGGAATCGCTCTAATTTTCGAAAATCTGTCACCTTGTGATATGGCTTGATTTTCAGTCAATGCCATTGATAAATTCATGTACAATAGTTCCTTCTTTGACAGTAGTTCATTTTAAAGTACATTTTACAGTTTATTTAACTGGATCTTGATAACTTTTAAACAGTTTTCAGACATCAGTTAATCTACATCGGAATCATCATCACCTATATCATCTGCTTGAAATGAGCTTGACAAAATATAAAGTTTATGCATAGATTAATAAAAGTGAGGCTTCTTAATATCTTTTTAATTGCTGTCTACTATTCTTTATGCGTTTTGGGTGAAAATTTGCTTACCATTTACCTGTAATAGTCCACACCTCTGACAATTTGCTGAGTGAAGTCTTGAATAGCTACTGGTGAAGACTCTCAAACTTGATTAAATAACTATCCTATGCTTGTTGGTCTTAAGTGGTTCTCCGGCTCTTAGTATTTGATAAACTTATTCAAACAAACCCATTTTCACCAATATTGGAGATTTTTACCAAGCCTATGAACTGTTTTGTATATGCTTATGGAAATTTGTGAAATGCAAAAAATAAAGACTGTAGTCTGTAATAAAAACAGTAGATTAACAGATAACCAACAAATTTCTTCAGTTTTAATTCTAATCATTCGGATAATGCGATTGTAAATTCCAACATACTATGTATTTACATGAATAAAAAATGGTATCATAGATTTCACATAACGTATCAATCAGCCATGCGTTAGCAAAAGTAATCGTACTGAATCAGTATAAAATAAAACTGACAAGCCAAGTTGTGAGGGAATCCAAATCATACTTGTGTTAATCATGACAAGCAATACCGAAATTTAGTAGCGTGTTTTACAGAGAAGAGATGAAAATAACGTTTGTATGAGGAAATACTGAAATTCAAAATCTAGATGAAGATAAGAAGTGAACAAATCTGGAGGCATATCATCTAACATCTACAATCACTAATTTGAGTTAATATTCCATCAACTCGACTCGGCGAACTCATGTATTGATATCACTGTGTGATCATATTTTTAGATTAATGATGTTGAAAAATTGGTAATATGTAATGAGCCAGAAACAACTCATTCACGTAGAAATATCCGAGGAAAAAATCAATATGAAATATCATCACAGGGCTGAAGTTTATTCGTATAGTATAAACGTTTTACGATTTTTCTTCCAGTGATATAAAAAGGTGGAAGTATTCATTTGAAGACATTGAATGTACATTGTTAGTAACTGTTAATCATTCAAAACTTCATTATAGGATCAAAGTTACATTAAATCAGTATTATTATGGCTGAGAATCAGTAAAACAATTAGTGTACGCAATTTTGTAGCTCAACATTAATACATTACGAGATTAAACACAATGTTAAAAGGTGATTTCTCAGTATAAAACACTCAGACATAATTTGAGTGATTATTACAGTTGTGAAAACTACCAGTTCAGTATATATAAGTTTTCTGACACTAAACGGATTGATAAGTAACCACAAGATGTAAAACAATTTGATTAGGTGGTAGTTAACTGCCAGTTGAATCTAATATAATCAAGGACGTATTGTTAGTTTCAGATAATACTTAAGAGAAGGCAATAGTTTTTGAGTCTATTTTATGTACTGCTGTGTACATAATAGCATTAAAAGTATGAGCAACTTCGAGGTTAGAAATAAAGTACTAAATGAAGGCAGCATGTCAGTTGATGAAGTAGTATATCTTCATCAAACGAGCCACCTGGTTTGTGTCACATATACCTAACCATCGATGACGTTGGCAAACAATGTCTCCTGGTTTGCGGCTAGAATGGAATAAAGCTGGGGGATGCAAGACATGATATTATCTTATTAAGTTACTGGCTGTTGATATGAGCCATGCTGATGGATGCAGGCTTTCTTGTTACGATTTCCATTATCAATCATCTTAAAACAGCTAAAAAGACTGATAGTAATGAGAAACTAGACTAATTGGGAGGCAAATACAATGATGAGGTAGTTTAACAAGTTCATTATATGACAGCTGTCTAGCCGTAAATTAGTTGATAAATCAAGCTCGTTATTAATAATCATAATTTTCCGTTTTGTGTTCCTTACTAATTCGGGAACTCGGCAATTCAAAAAACAGGTTTAGAACTAGGATGCAGACCCATGGATAGCTTAAAAATCTTACCAACATTGAAGTGTCTGTTACTTTCAATGGTATTTCCAATGAAAGTTAACCAAAATCCCATCTGCGAGTCATTTAAAAGAGCGTACCTGAACTTGGAGGTATAAGGAAACTTTATACCTTACAATAAAGATTCTATTAATACACTGTTTTATTATCATTATTTTCCTTCAATGTTTGCAAAAATTCAGATATTTTTCCGTCCAAATAAGGTGTACATTGAAAGAAATAAGTATGACGATAAATTCAATCTCATGAGGAAAATACAGCTTGCTGCTAATGCCTAAACCGATTAGGGATACATCTCTCGGAACTTAGGGAATACTCCGATCCATTTGATGCTTTTATTTTTAGCAATTTACCCGTTAGGTTAACATAACGTCTCACTTTTAATTTCAAACTATACAATACTATCTCTAAACGTCAAAGGAAGTTGATACGAGGTACTGTGTAGTCGATATCTCAAAAAAACTATTGGATTATATTCATAAATATTTATTGGGTTTGGGATGGATCTTCATTCTGATCCATGGATTTATAGTAATATGAATGAACAAATACTTTGTATGCTGTATAATAACGTTTATGTGATAAATATAAAACCATTAGATGAAATCCCTAAAAGGTGAACAGTGAGGTTTAAAAAGCCTCTTTTTTGTTCTGGAGGTTCTTAATTTTTTGAGCCAGAGCCCTTGCCTGAAGTCTGTAGTTGGCAGTAGTGCGTTTTATTTCATTCAAAGACTGCCTTTTGTTCATGACAGAGTCAAATGAATCCTCGTAGTTTAGTAACAAGGCATTTCTCCCCAAAAGTCCACATGATCGGCGGAGTTTGGTATTCTCACCCCTAAGATGTTCCCTAGTTTGTTTTATTTTCGTTAGATGGTCTTTCTTCATTGACACATCTGCATCAATTTCCTCAAGTATTTTTCGCTGACTAGCATTATCGTCAAGAACAAATTGAAGTTTTTCTTTTAGGTGAGTAATTATTTGAACTGTTTTCGAAATTTTCCGTCTTAATTTGATCATCTCTTCACTTCTTTCCTCGATTTTTTGGTCAAATGTTTGATTTTCGAATTTCAGCTGCTCAAAATCAATCAAGTTCAAACCTTCTGACAGCTGATCTTTTGATTTCAATTGAGCCTCGGCCTTTAAAAGTTTATTTTTTAGCTTTATATTTTCTAACCTGACTTCTCTGACCGTTTCTTCTTTATATTTTTCTGTCGTAAACATAGAAGAAAGTTCTTTAGAGCTAAGCGGTTTCCTGGTTCGACTATTTATCGCCCTTTTTCCTATATTATACCTGAAATCATTAAAATCCTGGTATGCTTTGTCAACTTCCTCCTGTTTTGTTTGGCACAATTGTTTTAACTTGTCAATTTGTTCAGTATAATCAGCCTCCATTATTTTAGACTGATGGCGAAGATCAAACAAACTTGAAATATATTTGTTGTATTTTAGCTCGTAATCTGTGGTAGCATCACCAACTCTACCGCTAGTGCTTAACTGAGTACCCTGTTGGTCAGCTGCCTCACCTTTCTTGCGTCTAAAATACTCAGCCAACTTCGTTTGAAGTTGGAAGTTTAATTCCCTAACGGCTTTCTGTTCATTTAGAGACTGTTTGTACTTTTCTATCAACTCCTCGCGTCTTCTGGTATCTTCTTCCACCTTAGCTTCACTGGTGACACATTCTTCATTGTCAATTGCACCAGTTTCTGCAGACGAAGGAATGAGTCCATCAGCTTCTTCAGATTTAGAAACATTATGAAGCCTCTCATCAACTTCTGGTGGTTCTTCAGTTTGAATTATATTCTCCTGGGGTTCCGAAGCTAGATTTTCACCTTCTTCTGAGATTACCTGAGGAGGATTTTCATTGGCTGGAGAATTTAATAACTCTTCATGTCCAACATCGATTTCATTAGTCTCAGAAACGCTAATATGAGGAACACCAGATATTTCTTCTTTTGCCACATTATCTTCAGGGCTATTGTTCTCAGCATCAAGATTTTGATGTTCTACCGTAATATTTTCATTTACAGAGATTCTGTCACTTTTTTTCTCAGTGTTTTCTATCTCTTCTTTTGCCACATTATCTTCAGGGCTATTGTTCTCAGCATCAAGATTTTGATGTTCTACCGTAATATTTTCATTTACAGAGATTCTGTCACTTTTTTTCTCAGTGTTTTCTATCTCTTCTTTTGCCACATTATCTTCAGGGCTATTGTTCTCGGCATCAAGATTTTGAGGTTCTACCGTAATATTTTCATTTACAGAGATTCTGTCACTTTTGTTCTCAGTGTTTTCTATTTCTAGTTCAGTGGAGTCATAATTATCTTCCTACATAAAGAGAAACACTTAATGATCGAAATTTGAAAACATTTTTTATACCCTGGTCTCCCCATTCTGCGAATCCATTTTCCATTTATCCGGTAACAACTATAGAAACGACCTTAAATCCAATATCCAATATCTTTTTCACGAGCTAGTGTAAACCAATTTGATTTCTTCGCGCTCGATTCTTGTTCTTTCGGTACGGTTCCAGGTGTTCGGTAATGTCCAATGGATGGAGGTCTAGCCACTCGACTGTCTAATTCTAGTCAGTTGGCAGTTGGTTGTGAGTTTGTATGTCTCGGGATTTGAATGAAACGTTTGTTTCAGGGCAGTAGGGTTTCTGGATACTAGCAGCCGTCACATTACCAAACCGGAGATCAGTTAGTTGCAACGTGGAGAGTAATAAGGGTAATAAGGATAAATTGAAATGTTAATATGAGTAAAATTTCAGAACTGAGTAATGTATAGATGAATTTAGTTTATTAATTGGTAGTGAAGATTGCGAGAGAGGACCGAAGTGTGAGCAAGGGAGAGGAATAGGCGCGATAGATTAATTGGGTGATCTGAGGAGATGGCAATGGTAACAACTAGCAGGTCTCAAGATATGAATCAGGCACAGCTTGTCCAAGAGGGAGATGATAGTCCGTATGTGAGCACGTGATTATCAAGTCTCTTCTTAAAGCAGTCCACTGAGGGGGCTGTAACTACCTCGGCTGGGAGAGCATTCCAAGTTGCGACGACTCGCAATGAGAAAAAGTGTGCACGAATCTGAGTGTTTGCTCTTTGATGTGCAATCTTTCGAGGATTGCCTCGAGGAGAGTGGTGGTGATGCATCGGTAAGATGCTTTTCAACCCTATCACCCATTTGGTTGCTCGTCTCTGCACTCGATCCAAGAGAATAATGTCTCTTTTAAGCAGAGAGGGTGCGATGACGTTGTGAACCTCCAAGTGTGGGCGCGCGTACGTCTTAAAGAGGGTTAAAAATAATTTCGGGGTTATAGCACCAAGCTGTCTTCGCATAAAGTGAAGAGTCGCATTTGCATTGGCTGCATCCCCTACATAGTTCGGACTCGTGTGGAGGCTTTCTGTGGTTTTTAAACCAAGATCGCGCTCTGAGGAGACATTAGGGAGCGGACTTCAATTGAGAGTGTAGGTGGTTTGCGTCATATGAGGCAGGAAATGCATGACGTGGCACTTCGGTTGGTTGAGTTTTAAACCGTTTTTCACTGCCCATTTCTCAATGGATGTAAGGTCCTTTTGAAGCTCAGTCGAATCCTCTTCGCTTCTAATGAACCTCCAGATCTTCGCATCGTCTGCGTAGATCAGTGCCGGTGAGCTAACTAAGCTTAGCAGGTCGTCTCAATATCCAATATCGTTTTCGCTAGCTGGTATAAACCAACTGATTTCTTTGCGCTCTATTCTAATTCTTTCAGGACAGTTCCTTATGTTTGCTAGTGTCCGGTTGGTAGTACTCTAGCCACTCCAATCAACTCATTCTAGGCAGCTGACAGTTATTTATGAATTTGTATGTTCCGTAATTTGAATGAGTACGTTTGTTTCAACACAGTAAACTTTCTGGATATCAGCAGCTATCATATTACCAGGCCGGAGATAAGTAAGTTACATTGGTAAAAAGATAAATTCTAATTCGAATAGGAAGATGATTTCAGGACTAAATACATAAATGCATAAATAAGTTAATTATTTGGAAGTGAAGACTATGCGAGAACAACGAGGTGTATGTGAGAGAAAGGAAACAGAGATACTAAGCGGGATAGGGTATGTTAGCGATCTGACGTAACGGGTGGTCCAGGAGGAAGATGATAATCAATATGGGGGTACGTGTTTAAAAAGTCTCTTCTTGAAGCTATCCACTGATGGGGCTGTGGTCACTTCTACTAAAACAGCATTCTAAGCTGCAACAGCTCTGTATGTTCGCTCTTTGATGTGCGATTTTTTAAGGAGAACCTTGAGAGGCTTGGTGGTGCTGCTCCAATAAGATGCTCGTGTACTTAATATGATGTTCTCCATCGCCTCAGATTCTTTTGAAACTCAAAGAGAATGATACAAAGTATATCTTTTTAGGGTTTGTTCTTCGGCCCTATTGCCTATTTATTTTTTCTTGTCTCTGCATCGATTCAGGAGATTTAGATCCTTTTCGGAAAGAGTGATTGATAGGACGTGATGCATATGTTTTAAACAATGTAAATATATATTTTAACTCCTCCTGTAGAACCTTCGTGGCTACTGCCGGTTCACCTCACCAAAAAAACTAACTCGCCAAAAAACCGCTAACCAGAAAAAATATATCAAACCACTTTAACTCTGCCCTGGGAGTTGGAAGAAGAATTCTGACGTAGCGTGATGAAAGCCGAGTTCCTTCGGCAGTCACGAGGCCGATGCCTCTTCTGACAACCATAGCAACCATTCTTTTAGGTACATGGAAAGTTCGAACACTGTGGGAGACTAGAAACTATTTCATGTTGCTACGGAAATGAAAAGATACAACCTCGAGGTGCTCGGCATCAGTGAAACACAGTGGACACAGTTAGGACAACTGAGACTAGCTTCAGGGGAACTGCTGTTATACTCTGATCATGAAGAGCAAAATGCTTCACATACACAAGGAGTTGCACTGATGCTGTCCAAACATGCACAAAAGGCACTTATAGGTTGGGAATCTCATGGACCCAGAATCTTTGAAGCATCCTTCAAAACAAGGAAGAACAAGCACCAGCAGATTGTAAAGAAGGATACCTCATCAAAATATCAAAGAAAGGAGATCTCGGTGTGAGAACTACAGAGGCATCACTCTTCTCCCAATTCCAGGCAAAGTCTTTGACAGGGTGTAGCCAAACAGAATGAAGGACTTCGTAGACGCCAAACTTCGAGATCAACAGGCCGGATTTCGTAAGGATCGATCATGTACTGACCAAATTGCTACATTACGGATCATTGTGGAACAATCAATTGAATGGAACTCACCACTCTACATCAACTTCATCGACTACGAGAAGGCATTCGATAGCTTGGAAATAACAGCACTATGGGGGCTACTCTTTCACTAAAGCGTGCCTGAGAATATAGTCAACATCATATGGATTTATCATGATGGATTAAACTGCAAAATCGTGCACAGAGGACAGCTAAAAGACTCGTTCGAGGTGAAGACCGGTGTCAGGCAAGGTTGCTTACTCTCAACATTTCTCTTTCTCCTCGTGATCGACTGGATTATGAAGACGTCAGAATCTGGATGGAAGTACGGTATTCATTGGACAGTTAGGACGCAGCTGGACGATCTGGACTTCGCAGATGACTTGGCTCTTCTATCGCACACTCAACAACAAATGCAAGAGAAGACGACCAGTGTAGTATCAGCCTCTGCAGCAGTAGGTCTCAACATACATAAAGGAAAAAGCAAAATTCTCCGATGCAACACAACATGCACCGACCAAATCACGCTTGATGGAGATGCCTTGAACGACCTCAACACCTTTATGTATATGGGCAGCATCACTGATGCGCGAGGTTGGTCTGATGTAGATTTGAAGGTGTGGATTGGTCAAGTAGGGGCAGCATTTCTATCACTGAACATCTAGAAATTAAAACAACTGTCAGTAAACATCAAAGTCAGTCATTCAGTCAGTTACAACATCAAAGTGGATGAGATGGGGGCGCCGATCGGCAAAGCAGGGGCTGCAATTCTACAATTGAAAAACATCTGGAACTCCAAACAAATACCAATCAACACCAAAATCAGGATTTTTAACACAAATGTCAAGACATTTCTACAGTATGGAGCAGAAACTTGGAGAACTACAAAGATACAAGTATTTATGAAGATACCTCGGATTCGTTGGCCAGACACCATTAGCAACAACCTATTGTGGGAGAGAACAAACCAGACTCCAGCGGAGAAGGAAATCAGGAAGAAGCGGTGGAAGTGGATAGGGCAAACATTGCGAAGCTCCAAACTGCGTCACAGGACAAATCGTCTCTTGGAACCCTCAAGATCAAAGGAAAAGAGGAAGGCCAAGTAATATATTACGCCGAGAAATAGAGAAAGACAGGGGAACTGTCAATATAAAATGTGAAGAACTGGAAAGGGAAGCCTAGGTCCCAGGTAGTTTGAGAAAACGTATGGGTGGTCAATGCTCGAACAAGCGTAAGTAAGTGAGTAAAGTAAAAGCAGTATTTTGGAGTGATTGCACCCAACCTAAGGTTTTAGAATGGTTTCTGAATTCGGAGGAACAGTTCTAGAAGTTTAGATACGCGCCTATACCGGATATCCAAAAAAGAAGGCAATTTATCTGGGCAAGAAACGGTTCTATTATTAATTAAAATTTACAGATCATTACCTAAACAACATCACACTGTTCTCCTTCCAAATTAACACAATGTGTTTTCAGTTCTGGAGGAATGCTTCCGTTTAGGTCCAAAATTGCACCCCTCCAGTCCAGACGTACGTTTCACTCGTCAAGACATCAAATCCGATATGGCTGACGACATAATTAACTATCAACTAGAACAACATAATACAGTCCAGTAGAAAACATGGAAACTCCGGTAAAGGTACAACAAGTAGAAACTACAACAAAATACAAATTTTAACATCCCGAAATGGGATTAAACAGAGTACCAAAATGAAGCACAGAAAGAATCAGTAAGAACATATTACAATTATGTACATGGAGGGATTTTCCCAAAACAAAGCCTTCAAAATGGATTCTACCCCTAGTTTTCCTCGCGTAAACCGAAAAATTGCATTCGATTTACCTGAGCCAACTATCATGGTGTCGAGGCTTTCTATGGTTATTAAACCAAGATCGCGCTCTGAGGATTAGGGAGCGGAATTCCATCGATGATGTAAGCTGAATTTGTCATTTGGAGCAGAATGTTCGTAGCGTGACAATTCAAATTGTTTAGTTTACACCCGTTTTCAACTGCCCGTCCGTCAGTTGATATAAGGTCTTTTTGAAGCTCATTTAAATCCTCTTTGTTTTTTATGGACCTCATCCGTGTAACTCAACGCCGCTGAGCTAAATTTTGAGTACTTCGACTGGTAGCTTCATCTGGAAGTGTCTTCTATTACTTCGAACTTTGGCACTGTATCTTTTCCTCAATGCCATTTAAGAACTACGGTCGGAATCCTGCAAAGAGACCTCCCGCTCTACTATGCTTTCCTTTTCACCTGTAGCAAGCGTTCAGTGTTTCGCTTAAACTGAGTTCTTCTCTTTCCCGGTTTCTGGTGTGCCGAACTTATATTGTTTAGGACAGCATTCTGAATGATGTATCTCACTGTTCCCCATCATTCCCATGACCATGGAGCATGTAGAAGATCCTCTCTCATGATTATGCAATTTGTGCTAGTGTAGCGAAGATGGGTTTCGTTTTCGTCCCGCCCGAATGTTTAGTCAATGACCACTTTAAACCTGACCGTGCCATGGTCACTACCTCCTGCTGGTGTATGGACGCGTGCAACACCTCCGATCATCGTGTAACAATCAAGTGAATGTGACTCACCACTCCATATAAACTTCATTGACTACAAGAAAAGACCACACAGCGTAGAGTGGATAGACTTACAACCAGTGCGTATCTGCTTAAGCTATGACTGGGGACCGGTCAAACTGTGCTGGATAGGTACTCATTACTTTGTTTCCCAAATTTTACAAACGCATTGCACGTTATTAGTTTATTGATTAAAACTCAGCTGGTCAGAGCATACCACAATATCCCAGTTTCTGGGGAAGATACTCCTAATACCGCTACTACCACGTTCTTTAAACTGTTTGAGATCTTACGTATTCCATTTGGCCTTTCGAACATGGCACAAAAACTTCATAAGTTTCTAGACAATCTGCTTCGAGGTGTGCCTTTCGCCTCAGATTATATACACTGTTTATTAATCGCCTGTCAGGACTTAGCATTGCATGAACAACTTAAGACAGCTGTTTTAAAAAATTCAGATAAAAACGGAATGAACATACATCAAAGAAAGTATTTTCGGGTACCAGACCTTAGAATTTACCGGATACACAATAAGCATAATGAGAGTCCATTGAGAAATCCTTGTGCCAAACTAATGCAACCGTTGGCAGATTTCTCTTAAGGGAAAATCGAAAGATTCTAAGCTGCTAAAGCTAAAAAACAGCGTAAGAATAAGCTAGCCTAAAAATCTATGTTAACATATCCATTTGTAAACTCTCCACTCGCTTTAATTTCAGGTGGTTCAGATAAAGCAGGAATAAGATACAACTTTTTTGGACGGAAAATTATGACAAGCTATCTATCCATCAGGCATTTTCGGCACTCAGTAGAAGCAGGACATTCATGATTCGCATAGATAACAAACCACTGACTGATACATAAAGCCGATAAATATTAACTGTGTTAAAAATGACGGATGAAAATGGAGTGAACAAACCTCAGAGTAGGAGTGTCTTCGGAGTTCAGACTTTAGAATTATGCCCTGAAAGAATTACATCAATAGAAATGGTCGTGGAGACCACTGACTATTGCACAGAAAGATGGCGAATATTTGACACCACCTTATATCATAGTTCACCAGACAACCAGATGAAGGACGGAGAATTACAAAATCTGCTTTGAACAAAGAGCTCCATTCTCAAATTAAAGCAGCTTCAATCACACATTCAAGATATATTCATCTGTTGTTGCACAAGTGAGGCATGGTCTCGACCGTTCGTTCCCGAAACCATGCAGAAATTAATATTTGATAACTTCCATACTTTATCCCATCCTGGTGCCAAGGCTGCTACCAAACCAATAAATACTTTATATATCTGATTTAACTCCAAAATTTATGTACATAAGTGGATCAGGAATGTTCTACGTTTCGACGATCTAAGGTCACTTTGTGTATAATTGGAGCATGCAGAGTAGTGTGAGCAGGGAGAACAGGGAAACAACCAAAAAGCTGAACTGGGAACCCAACAGGCGCAAAAAGTGCGTTTAAGCTTGTCAGGGATAGCACCGAACAGCAATATGTGGTCACGCAAGCTTCACATTCAGAGAATCTGGAAAGCGAAACAGCTTGAAATTTTAAACCGTTTCAATAGCGCCGTTCATTCACGGCGGGTTACTTAAGATTATTCGGCCTGAGGTCCTGTATGAGTTGTTAACGAATTGAGCATCAGTAACACTTAGTTGTATTCTACTATTTAAAATGCCGGAAAGCAATGCTGCTAACGAAGTCATGCAGTCAGATAAGCCAGACAAGTTTATCAACAAAATTGGTGAGTTAGTTTGCGTCTATCTAGCATATACTTTAGATCCCGATGATCCAGAGTATCAGAAAAGTTTGATGCGCCCTGCTGCTATAAAGGAAGATGTTAACCTAATGATACAGCGCCAGCGAGTTTCCGGCATATTAAAGTCAGATGCATTTCGGCGAGAACTGGAGGAAGTTGTTCGTTCTCAGTGTCAATCTGGTGACTATCCTGGCATGAGCACTAGTCTTTTGTCCTTACAACACATATCCGATTTGTTCACTTCTGCTCCTTCTGGACAGCCTGTTAGCGGGGGTGGATTTTCAAGAGGTAGATTAACACTTTATCTTCAGTTCTGTATTGCATAACCAAAATTATCATAGAGTACTGTTTCAGCAATCTAGTGCTCTCTGAGGTGAACCAAACGATTGTATACACTTGACCACCTGTTAGTCTAGAGGACTTGTGCATAAGTTTCCCTCATTTATTGTGGCAATTGTTGTCTGACTAGTCTGTGTACATGGTAATCTCCCAAGTAAACCTAGATATCATTCCGTAAACATACTTTTGTAGTAAGTAGATTGATTATCAATAGTGATATAACTTTATATGTCTATTTCCAATGCTGTCGTTCGAAAGTCAGAAGAAGCTTTGTTCTTGATGTAAATTACTGGCTACCTTTCTCAGTCCTGATTAGTTAGTTAAATCCGAGGCATCGTAACGAACGATATACGCAGCACAACTTTCCAGAATGCTAGCGATTTTTGTTTTTTCCGTGAAATTATCATCCCTTAAGTCCCTATTTTATTTCCGTAGCAAGCCGTTTCAGGTTATGCAAACCAGATGTTTGCCGTAAACGTAATCTTTCTCAGAGTATTAGTTTGAATGGACAACTGTAGAAAATGTAGAGAATATATTGACAATATTCTTCGTTTATCTATCAGCTTTTTAATATAATTTCCGGTTTGCTACGAAGGTACGTATCATATTATAACGAGATATTTGTGTCACTGCAACATGTTGACAAAACAAGGCTCCGTATACTAAGTTTCCAGCCATGTTTATTGGGTATATATACTAGGTCTCTCAAATGTAAGTATACTTGAAATGCGGTTGAAACCTGTTATCACACTGAAAGTATCATGTTTGAATCACAGCCATTTCATGGTCCCTAGTGAACGGGTCACTAAAATATTTCCAATAGGACGAGCAATGTCTGTGGTGTAGGAGTAGGTTGGAAGTAAGTTAGGGGCGGCCAAACCAAAACATGGCACGATCACATGAAGTCACTGACAAGTAGACTGAGTCATGTTGGTAGATGTAGACTACCTGGTTGGGGTCCACCAGACGAAAGTCACCGATGGTTAAGAGACCTTGAACGACATGGCTCAAAACCGTTAGCAGTGGTGTAGGTGCATCCACTCTGTGTCCTCTCAAATCCTGATCGTATGAATTTATGATCGTCTCATTTTTTAAAACCGATTTCGCTGTGGTATACATATCGAATGATATATTCGATCATGAATCTTTTTGATTACTGCTAATACTTCTGCTACCTCTACTACTATGGTATTTGAATCGAGAATTGCGTCTCTGTGATAATGTAGTATGGACACTTGAACTGATATATGTACGTACGGAGTTCTACGTTGTAAGAAAAATAGGATACTTCAAAATGTGCTCAATGTCTGTCAGTACGTCTTGTACCTATTAAGTGGTAATGAATAACCATGTTTTACACTACACCTTTCGCTCATTTCTCTAATGTTTGTTGAATTCCCGTTTAATACAGTAGTCTTACTCATGAACTAGTTAGACTAATAGCCCATCTGTATTGCTTTTTGGTTATAAAACATAGCCTATAAAAGTATGGAACACCAAAGTTCAAGATGTGTTCATAAATGTATTTTTGACTATTATTTACAAATGGTGGGGGCACTGGCTGAATATTCCCAAACTCAAACTTGTAGTTTTGTGTAAAGATGACTTATGTACAAGTTAATTTAAAAATATTTTTGAACTCTTACCCACCCCTCTGTGAAGTTTGTTGAAGAGGAACAGGCGGTTAGACCAAGGTGTAACATCTCATAGTGAAGCCATCGAATGGCGATATAAGTCATGAGTTGTATGCTCTTCAGTTCAGGTACATGCAATTATCGTTAGCTATGATTAGAAACATTTGAAAGCTTTCAGAATTGGTCGTAGGAACACTTTTAAGTACATTCCTTGTTTCCTTCTAAATCAATCATCCCATACTTTATTCCTTTTTGCTTCTTCTGAACTATGGCAGTATAAAATCAAGAAAATGTGACTAGCAGTGGGATCCAGAATGTTTTATCCTGGTCTTGTCCTGTTTGACACATAGCTGAATGTACCTGCATCCCAGAGTTGATGTCCGCCCCGGGACTTGAACTTGGTACCATCCGCCTTAAACGCCTTCACGTTAAATAAAGCGAAACACTTCCTGGTTTCTGCTGCCTTGCCAACCTGTATCACAGTAACTGTACCGAAACACCATACTTGATGCACGTATACCAATCCAGCTTAACCAAATTTCGGTCAAGATGCCAACAACGGAATAATCCAATCTACTCCAAACACCTTCACATCTGGTTTTCTATTACAACTGATGTCGTCATTTCCAACCCTCCACTCTTCATCTTGCTAAATTCTTTTTTCTATGCTGATGTGAAGTACTGCAAATCGTATCAATACATATTGGTCCTATGCTATCAACTACTGGACGTTCGCTTTACATGTGTTCCAGTGTTTTGTTTAACTTGATAACTTTATTTGGCTAAATAATTTATCTTGTTTGCTAAACTCAAAGGATTTAATTGTCACTTAGATACGTGTTACATGCTTATATTTTATTTCCTGAGATATATTGCCTATTAATTGGTATAATTTTTCATACAACATTATGCAGGGCATCGAAATGGTGTTATTCCGATTAATGACTTGCGCGGTGGGGACGCGACTGTGTATTCCCGTCGTGAGCGTTCTCTTCGTTGCAAACTGGCCTCAGTTTATCGCTTGATAGATCTCTTTGGGTGGAATTCAAGTATATACAATCACGTGACTGTAAGTAATTTATTTCATGAGTTTCCAGGTTTGGTAAATGACTAATAAGAAATCGTCTAGAAGTAATTATTAGCATTATTAAACGCCTATTTCTGTTCATTTTTTCTCGAACCAAACATTTTCTGAGAGCTGAAATAGAGGTTCTGAGCCCATTTCCACCTTATGCTCACACATTTTAAGCATGTTCTTATTTTAAGTCATCGTAACTTCATGTCAACAGTTTTACCGCTACAGTTACAAAAGTGACAATGATATTTTTCATTTTCATCAACCATTCCGTTTATTTACTTAAGTTAGTGCTTCCAAAAATGAAATGAGTGGTGTGTATAGGTCAACAGGTTTTTGATTTGATTTTAGTTAACTCCAGGTCATGGCGTTTAATGTAGAACACTAGGGAAAGTAATTTGCGATGATGTTTGTTGGGAACAGATCATTTGTATTATTTCAGTTTTCAGAAGTAAGCTGCATCAAGCAAATCCATGTGACCAAATTCAGCTACTAATTTATTTCACTTTAACACTTTTGGTACTGTACAGTGGAACACTGATGTTGAAGGCATTAGTAGAGGCAATAGTCTTGAAATTTGAAAGATTATCTCCATTGATTAGTAGTTTTGTCGGTCACTGGATAATCGTATCCGTATCTCGTTAGGGCTTGAAATCTCAATAATCGTAACCATCCCACTATTATATTCTACTGACAACAAGAAATGCTTTATCGAGAGCTAGGGAATATTTCCGTAAGGAATTAACAGGCGTAATTCATATATTCATAACAAGGGAGTCAAAGAACGAATCATTTAGGTTTGTCTTTCAAGTCGTTCTCAAAACCATCTAATTATATGATCCTTGAAACTCCTGAAGCGGTTTTGCTACTTCGCCATAAACTGATCATTCACCTACTTCCTATTCAAGCAGTAATAAACAATATTATTGATTCTGGCATCTGTGACATTATGCTTCAAAATTTTTCCAAACCTCCAAATTCTGTGTTCCTGAAAGGGTGGCTAAATGATAGTTTTCGTTCTCAGAACTCTGCATTATTTATGTAATATTACCACCGAACACTATAGCAATACATTCAAGCTTAAAGAGCGGTAGAATATCCCCAGTTCTAAGTGACCAGGTTTGAAAGCGTAAGGTAGAACTGATTACATTAAGTGTAGTACTCTAAACAAACGATTACAAGGGCGGTACTAAAGTTGAACCAGAAATATATATGCCGCTTTCCCTTCGGCTTATGAAAACTGAGTTTGTCTATAACACCTGTACTAGTGTAATATACGAGGAAGTCAAGACCAGACGGAGTATATATATTTGGATAAGACTTTACGAAATGTGTACATATAGTCTCCAACCATCTATTTGCACTCCAGGCAGGTTATTGATCTATCTCACTCCTCTTCTGGCCTTTAAACTATTCTGATCTCGCCATCCATTTCGATCTCCTGACATTTTTCTGATAACGACTGAGCGATATTCCGCTACGTTGTGCTGTTGTTGATCACTGACAACTGGACGGAGTTATGTTTGTAAGTGTAGACTACCTGGTTGGGGCCCGTGAGACGATAGTAACCGATGGTTAGCGACCTTAAACCACATGGCTCAAAATCTTTTCCAACGGCACAGGCGCATCCATTCTTTGTGTTCTCTCAAATCCTAATCTTTTGAATTCCTTATCACCTCTATCTTTCTCTCTATAAATTTATTTCACTGAATTATACTTGGATAATTTCTTTGAACTTTAATCTTCTCCATTACCGCTAATACTTCTACTACCTCTACCACTATGGCATTTGAATTGACAGTTGCGTCTCTGTGCTAGTGTGGTATGGCAACTTTAACTTAGCAAGTTTAGTGTTGTAACTGGCTGACTGATATTCCCCTACATACTACTTTCGAGTCACTTTTTGAGTAGCACTAACCACACTAGTATTCTCATAACAGCTCATCTTCAAAAACACCTAAACTGTCACCAACGGACCACTTTTGATCTCAAAAAGTGTTATTAATTTCCCTGTACCGGCAGATTTTGGTGCTTAAAGTTAAGGCTTAAATAACATTGATAACATTAGTCTTTCGAGTAATCCCAACAAAAAGTTTCTGGCTTAAAAACATACTTAAAAACTGTTTTATTCATTAAATTCTTCAGTCTCATGAGAGTTGTGAATTATAATTTACTGGAAGGCATTTTCTATCATTTCATTTTAATTTTCATTAGGTGTGTGTTAGTCGCAATCATGAACATTATCTGGTGAATCCTTTCGGATTACTGTATCATGAGATTACTGCTTCTTCTCTCATCAAGGTCGATTCTAAAGGTAAGTTACTGTAGAATGTTTATGAACGTTACTTTATCCTAGTTGTCTGGATAGTTCTCTACTCAAATTTATTTAATTGAATTATACTCCTTGAATAACGTCTCCAAATCTTAATCTTTCCGATTACTGCTCATACTTCTACTACCTCTACAGCCATGGAATTTGAATCGACAATTGGATCTCCGTTCTGATGTAGTTTGGTAACTTGAGCTGATATAAGTACGTACGAAGTTCTACGTTGTTACTGACTGACTATCTAGATATTCCTATTTAAACTGTACACTAGTTCTATACTTTGATTGGTGTACTCTAATGAATGATGATCAACATTTTTGAATAAATATTGCTAGATGTTTTAAACTGAGTTTGAGTTGAATCCTCCTTTAAAAACTCGACAATTTGCTCATAACGTTTCATTAGGTCGGTAAAATCCGAAATATTTATGGTATTATTTATGCCTCTTTTGTTGCCTTATATAATGTAACTAGACATTTTGTAACTAAACGCTCTATTATTTGACAAAGTTCCGCAACAAAATAAATGAATTACGAATCTATGCATTATTAATTTATTGGGTTGTTTAAGTTAGCAAAAATATGCTTGAAAATATTTAGAAACCTTACGAATGAAAACTGTACTTCTTAAGTCCGGTGTCCCAATATCAAGCAATTAGGAGTTGTCAGTTTCAAATAAGTTCTGATGTACATGATGATTTCTGCGACAAACCTTGTTAGAGTGTGTGTTGTAGTTTGATTACTTGTGTTGATTGAATGTCACTATCTGGGTAGTAGAATGGTAGCAGGTCTGCAAAGATACTTTGCTTTGTTGAGATTTTAATTATATATTTTGATTTATAGGTCAGGTAACGACTCTGTTTAATGATGATTCGATGTGATATCACTCATACTCAATTACATCTCTCGACAAATCCTAAGTCAACGTACTGGACGCGCACGTCTATACAACACATTAACCACATCCATTGCACGCGCACACAACACAATCGAACACTACACCTAATAAATGCTCAACATTCGTCAGTAAATCAATCGACCTTATCCATTCAACCTTTCATATTTGCAGTAACACTCACTAACCAATCAATTACTCATCCATTCAATCAGTCAAATGTAACACAAACACCATATTGTTTTAATTTTTTTGCACTAATGAGGTCTGTTGTTTAGGAGACTTATAATTTAAATAAACGTGATGGGAAAGGAAGGTTTACTAGAAACTCAACACTCAACAACAAATGCAAGAGAAGACGACCAGTGTAGCAGCAGCCTCTGCAGCAGTAGGTCTCAACATACATAAAGGAAAAAGCAAAATTCTCCGATGCAACACAACATGCACCAACCGAATCACGCTTGATGGAGATACCTTGGAGGACGTTAACACCTTCACATATCTTGGCAGCATCATCGACGAGAAAGGTGGATCGGACGCAGATGTGAGGGCGCGGATTGGCAAAGCGAGGGCTGCATTTCTACAGTTGAAAAATATCTGGAACTCCAAACAACTTTCATACAAAACCAAAATCAGGATCTTCAATACAAATGTGAAGACAGTTCTACTGTATGGAGCGGAAACATGGAGAACTACCAAAGCCATCATCCAGAAGATACAAGTGTTTATTAACAGTTGTCTACGCAAAATACTTCGTATTCGTTGGCCAGACACCATCAGCAACAACGAACTGTGGGAGAGAACAAACCAGATTCCAGTGGAGGAGGAAATCAGGAAGAAGCGGTGGAAGTGGATAGGACACACACTACGAAAAGCACCCAACTGCGTCACGAGACAAGCCCTCACATGGAACCCTCAAGGCAAAAGGAATAGAAGAAGGCCAAGGAACACACTACGCCGAGAAATAGAGAAAGATATGAGAGGAATGAACAAACAATGGACAGAATTGGAGAGGGAAGCCCAGGACAGAGTTGGTTGGAGAAAACTGGTGAGCGGCCTATGCTCCTTTGGGGGTAACAGGCTTAAGTAAGTAAGTAAGTAAGAATGTAATATCTCATTATGAGCGCATGGAATATATGGGTTATTAAACGATAAATATGAGAAATTCAAATCTTTTGCATCATTTTTCTCGGATTATTCACTTTAATTTTCGCATTTTTACTAAATTATTGACCATTTTGGCTTATACATAACCATGAATAATTATCTGTTTAATTTACAGGCCAGATACTTGATCCAGGATCTACTGTATTAGGCGTAAACCAAATGACCTGGGCTTTACACTCAGCAGTCCATTCAGCTCGTGCTGACATCCGATGCATTATACATTTGGATACCCCCTCTACTGTTGCAGTAAGAACTGTATTTTAATATGTTATTAATAGTACACCAAACGACAGAGAAATTTTATTGTTCTGTCAATCCATTCTTTACCTTATTTTGAGAGGTTTTGTCATTCGCTGAGGATCATGAAGTATTGTTTCAATTTGTGATTCATTTTTGGTATTTCCTTTTTTTCACGAAGGACTAAAGTATTTTTTAACCGTCAGCAACAATTTGTACATAGAAATAAGAAACAAGCCTCTACTGTCATTAGCTCCGACGCTAGACGGGTCTCATGCGCTTTTATCTTAATTCAGAAATGTATTATTTAAAACACCTAACACTTACAGTCTGGAGATGGGAAAAATCTCACTGTTCGCGTTTTCACTAAGTTTATTGGTGAGTGTGTTGTAAACCCGGATATATTTGACTATCATTACAAACAGAAATAAGCTGTACTTAGAAAAGGCTTTAAAGCAGGTTCCGAAGTCAATCCATAATTGTTCTTTTCAGTGGCAAATAGTTTTACCGTATTTTGTTTTTGTTAGACAACTTCCTCATATTAAATGTTATGAGTCCTTTTACTTTCTCTAGATATCTTGTATGAAATCCGGATTATTGCCTCTTTGTAATGAAGCAATGATTTTGGGCGAAGTGGCCTATTATACTCCCAGCGGTGGATTAAGCTGCAGAATCAGTACTGATGCTAATGGAGATTTTAGTAATATTAAAGATTGGGCAGCTGAATGCGCAACAGTCAGTGAAGCTTTAGGTCCAACTGCTCGTATTTTGTTCTTACGAAGTCTTGGATTACTTGCCTTAGGCGAAACTATCGAGGAGGCATGGCATTATGCAACTAATGCAATAGTTGCATGTGATACTCAGGTAAGCATATTTTGAAATGGAATACATTCGTGTGCAGATGAGCTTTTGATCAAAATGTCATAACTTTGTCCCCACTAAATACACTTGCATATCGTAGTTCTAAAAACCATTTCATCTTTACAATAGTGGCAGAGTCAGTCAATCAGTAACAAAGTAGGACTTCGTACGTAGGTATATCAGTTCAAGTTTCAATACCACATTAGCAGAGAGATGCAATTGTCGATTCGAATTCCATAGCGGTAGAGATAGTCGAAGTATGAGCAGTAATAGGAAGGATCACGATCCGAAGATATTATTCAGGAAGTATAATACAGTGAAATAGATTTGAGGCGTGAAAGATGAAGGTCGTGAGTAGTCTTCACCGAATAGGACCATGTCATCAGCATACTCTAAGTCAGTACGCGTGTCTCCTGAAAAGTCAGACGATGATAATGTTCACTCTAAAAGCATGTCCACGACAAAGTTAAAAAAGAATGGAGAAAGTGGACATCCTCGACGGAACCACTTGAAGTATAGAATTACGATGACAGATCGCCATAAGCTTTAACTCGACCAGTTATGTTCGAGTAGAGAGCTTGCACAAGGTTAATGTACCTTTTTGGTACATCTTTTAATGACAGAATTGAAAATGAATAACAAAACCATCGTTTTGTGGGATGGTCTCACTTACAGTCGGATTCCTTATACCGGTTTCCTTGAGTTTGAATATTAGTCTACTGTTGCCTATCGCCATTGCCTTTTCCATCCCACTTGCTTTCTCTACCCACCGCTGTTCGCGATCATTGCGTTGGCTTTTTATCAGCCTGCGTCTGTGGGAGTACGGTAACCGGAGTAGTAATGCAGCATATGGTGGCAGACCACAGCGTCCTAAAAATGATATTGACGAATCAAGGCCCATGTTTTCAGAGCGTTGAGTTTACGTCCGGCCTTGATCAGTTAGACATCAAACGGATCCGAACAACCTTATACCGTCCGCAGACTAACGGGTTAACAGAAAGAAATAATCGGACTGTTTAGCAGCTAAAGGATGTAACCAGGCGCACCGATGATATTACTACCGTACCGTGCTTTGATTCAAAGAAAATTAAGAAAATCCTCGTCCCAGTTGATATATGGCAAAAGACCAGCAGCCTATAAGACAAAGCCTCAACCACAGAGATGGGATCTTACTCAGTGGAACAAGCAGTGATGAAAGTACGACGGAGAGAAAAAGTGAACATCAAAAAATCCGGATAACATCAAGGGGGAGCATCAGAAGCCTTTCTAATTAGAAGGTCAGGTAAAATATAGGGAATGGAAACGGCCAGCAGGAGGTCTGCTTGGTTCACGAAAACTGCTCCTCAAGTGGGAAGAACCACACGTTTTCATTGCGAGACGCGTACCATCATATACCACCAAGAAACGTAATAAAGAAAAATACGTGAGTGCTAGCCACCTTCAAAGGTTGATTTGGTGAACTGATATATCAAAACCTTTGGAACAGCGATTGGTGACAGAACTACGGATATCGACACACCTGCAGGCTCGACAGTTTAACAGGGGTAACTGTGGTGGATGGTGGCATTTTCGTAATTTTCATTCTTCAGAAGTTGCTACGAGTGATAAGCGTGTTTGCAGATTGGAATGCATGCCGGAGTCAGAGTATCTTCAAGACCAGAAGAGATGTGAGAAGAGTCAGTCAATAACCTGTTTGTATTGCAAATGAATGTCTGGAGATTATGTTTACATATTTTGTAAACCATCTTCTCGCATATTGCACAAACATGTATATAATTACCGAACTGTATTTATGTTGTCCGTAACTCATTTGTCTTCACACAAGATCTATTATCCTTAATTTTATCAGCATACAATCGATTTTCCTCTCATGTATTCTTTTCGAAAAGCAATTGTCCCAATTAATGACCCGAAACATTTTATGTACTCAAATAAACTGTTCTAGTATAGGCAAAAAACATTTCTCATGAACGTATACATAAATTTTATAATCCTGTTTTAGCTTCAAGCAAATCTGGTTACTGTTGGTTTCACTGATCCATCGTCTGTATAACAAACTGTACGTAGTAAAATAGTGTAGTGCTCTATAAAAGTATCAGTTGGTCATCGTCGAAGTAAAGTCTGGAAGAAATGTACGCTGACCCAAGTTATCATACCATACTAGCACAAGATGAATAACTGAAAAATAAAAATAATGTAGAAGCAATGGAAAGATTAATTGTGTTGAACAATTACTATAAGATATAGAGTTGGATTAATGAAGTAATTGTAAACTATCTCCCACATTTATCCCATGTACAATGACTAATAGATTTTCAGTAAGCTTACGATTTGTTGTAATCTTTTGGTTTTAAACTAAAAAGTCAAGGTTGTTAAGCGTATTTCTCAGGGTCACTTACTCGATTTTCGGTCGATGTTCAACAACGTATATGTTAACTCAGGCTAAAATTTCCATTACAAATAAGTATCAACACATTCTTGTTGATGAGATTGTTTTCATAAAATGTGATAATTATCATAATTATATGTTTTAGTGCATGATGTTCTGGGCAAACCTCTCGTTTCATAGAGCGGAGTTTCCATGCTATTTCATCTTTTATTTCCTTTAATTCATTTTTACCAGTAAAAAAATATTTTATTATACAACGAATTCGGTTTATACAGTAATGAAGCATTCATGATACAATGCTATCAAACTGATATTTTAGTACCGTCAGTTTAGTCTTCTATTGATTCCTTATTGTTAAAAATTACTAACATTTACATTTTAGCTCTTATTGGCCTCAGTAGGTTCTGAAAACCTCATTCTCCCTACAGACAAACTTAAGCAAAAAACTTATGAAACATGGCGCACAGCTGGATTGGGCGGTCTTAGTGGTCCCGAAGCTGCACTAGCAATGCGATTATCGTCACCTAGTAAATCTGGTACCAATGAAGCCGGACAACATTCAGTGATAAATGGATTCGTTTCAGACAGCTCAAACGTGGAAAGTAATGTGGCCAGACCTTGGCGCTTAGGTGAGCTCGAATTTGAAGCTATGATGCGTCATTTGGATAACGCTGGATGCCGTACAGGTCATCTTTATCGACAGGTAGCGTCATTTTCATTTTATTCTAGTCTAATAAAAAGTTTATTGATTCACTGGGTGGTTGGATTTTTCCTATAAGTTGTTTTTTCTATCTGCTATTTTCTAGAGCAACTTCCCTTCATGGTATTTGAACGTAACAGATGTAACTCAATAGCTGATCGGGATCCTAGTCATTTGATTGTATGATGATTGTACTACAATGTGGCTTTTATGATCTGTTAGTAGATATCAAAATTTCAGTATTATTCAATGAGCGTGATCGGTATTCAAAAAATTTAATCTTTCATTTCTCTCTTATCTTCAACTGTTTGACTCTGGTATCAACTGCTTTTCTGTGCATTACATGCAACGCGTTTGTCAGTTTGTTGAGGGCACATAGATTTGCGAATCTCCCACTGTTTTCGTTTCTTTCTTCCATTTCATGTCGTCTCATGATATCTTCATATGCGGTGTTGTCCATTCCAACCTTGGTGTTAAGGTCTCCCATCAGAACATTCAAATCTTTTGTTGGGCATTTCTTGATGATTGACTGCAGCGTTTCATAGAATTAGTCCTTAACGTCCTCATTGTTATCATTGGTAGACTGAAAGCACTGAGTGAGATTCATTGTAATCCCCTCTTTTTTGTTTTCAAGGATGCTTGAAAGTGTGTCTAGCTTAACTGATAAGCATCCTACCATCTCTTTTCTCATACTTCAGTGGCGTCAACAATTAACTGGGGAATTACATATAAAGACATTTTATTTTTTATTTTGGCGATTAGATTATTGTATCAATCATGAAATATAAGACTGTTTCGAACATATTATTTATAGGAGGCTATGGCAAGCCCACATCGACCACGAAAAAGTAAAGCCGTAAATGGACACTCTGGAGGTGGTAGTCAGGAGGATGAAATACAGGTTCCACCGTCTGCATCGTCTGTAACTGCTACAATGGCTTATTATTATGATGATGGAGTTCTTTCTGGTGATGAGACGGAAACACCTAGACCATCGTAAGTTTTATTATTATTTCTGATATCTCACTTTTCTAATTCATTTTCTAACATTAATGGACACAACCTTTAGTCTTATCTCATGTCGATAGTTCACAGATGTTGATGATTATCGATATCTTAGTAACTATAGTAATCTCTGTTTTAATCAATTCCCCCCACTGTTTGTAATCGTTACCTGCTATATTTTGAAAACAGTACTGATTATTTTTGGGTAATCAGAAGTAGCCAAATGAGAAAGCCATTTAATGACCAGCAGCAAGTTTCCTAAATAACAAATACATATCGTTGGTCGAAAAATAGCTTTACTTTCTAAGGAGGTGGAAAACATAGGTATAGACGAGTATTTGCACACACTATTTGTTAATCAAATAAACTTCCTCTTTTGTTCTCGCCTTGTTGCTCAAGGAGCGGGTTTGCAGCGTTAGCATATCGCGATCAGATATCGATTACCGCACATCATAACAAGTACATCTGATTTCTACTAGTTGACTTTTATTACTTTTATTATAAACTCTATGTAAGATAAAAATTATCTTAATTTTCTCAACAGTTGCATGAATAAATCCCGTTTCACTTTTCGGCTGTTATTAAATTAGATTATCATTACTTGCTCCAACTCTTAAGTAGGTGTGTTCATTCTTACACTATGAGTGAAATAAAACTTCCGGAATCGAAGGACTTAATTGACTTTTTAGCGTTCAGTCACTACTGACTTACCGACATTAGTAAGCAAATATTTCCTGTGTAGTAAATAAACTAAACGATGCGGATATCGACATTAAACATGGAAGACAATAAACATTTTCGGAACACTAAAATCAAGTAGCTCACATGTTCATGTCCTGATTTGTGACTTATGCTTGATTGCACAGAAACAGTATTGTCGCGAACTTCTTACGATGCAGTTTTTCGAAGTTGATTTTATAAAGCACATAGAGATTTCTCTGGTTTAGTAATAACGCTATATTTCTAATCGTTTTTTAGAACTCTTAGACGTGAATTTTCAGAGAAACAATGGTTTAACACTCCGAACAAATACACTAAAGAAGTGATTGAACCTGCTCCAGGTCACCAACCAGTTTCTCATTGGGTTTGTGAACGTGAAGCAGCTGTTCATAATGCTGTGTGCAATGGTGCTCTACCTCCTCCAGCCCCATTTCATCCTTTAACTCATGGAGCAGTACCACTAGGCTCAACCGGTGGACCGGCCACAGGGACATCTTCAGTCATGTCACCGTATAATGTATTCGCTCCTCAAGGTTCTAATCCAAAAGAATATCGCGAGCAGCAAAAGAAAGCAAGTTCTATCTCCATTTTTTTATATAATAATATCTATTTCAGTCTTAGCGTTTTTATTAGTTCATACACTCCTTTGTTTCTAACTGGTGAATATAAAGATAACGTCAAAATTTAGACATATTTGAAACGTGATGAAAATGGTTGATCCGGCGGTGATGAACTATCTATTAGGTTTTGCACATACAGTAACAAGCCATTTTTTATTGACCTGTTCAATTTGAAGTTTGTCTATTCAGTTATGTCTACTATGGGCTAAACGTCAACAGCTAGTTGTAACTCAACTGGTGGTGCTTTGTTTTCACTTAGTGTGGTGTGAGCTACTTATAAGTAGTATATGATGTGAGTGTCAACGTAATGTCTAGCAGCAGAAGATGGGGAAAGGTCAAGAAAGGAAGAGTTGTAATACAATGGAATTAGGATGAAACGCATGAATAGTAACAATGGATTGATTTTTTGCAACAGGAACAGTCCAGTTCGATATGATGGACTGGTATTTTGCAAATTAACGATTTACGATATGGTTTTCCGATTTTACTGAGTAACTCTGTGACTTTCGTTAAATACAGTTCGGTTGCCCCACCTGTGTTCTCGTTCACTACATTAGTACAATATTTACAGTTAGTCTTAATGTGTCTCCATTAATTACCTGACCGTACAAAACAAATGGGATGAAATATTCCATTTTGAGGAACAACTTGTTACACTCCTGTCCAGGGGAAAAAACCTCTGTTATCCTTTGTCGCATTCAGCTATGTGAATAAAACCACACACATTTTTGTTCATTTTTCATTTGATTTTTCTGTTCATTTAAGTACTAACAATTAAAATTAATTAAGACTTCTTACGGAATCATAATGAAGCCAAGACTTAAAAGCAGAGATGAATAGTGGCTAGCAGTAGATTACGAGACGCGCGTTTTCTACTTGAGACTCGTCAGCTGGATGTATCTGCATCTCAAAGTTGATGTTCATTCTGGGACTCGAACCTAGTACCATTCGCTTCAAACGCTGTTGCGTTATTCACTTGGCTACTGAGTCCAAACAGCAGCTGGCTTTTGCAACAGGTTAAACTTTAATACATTTGTATCATTAGTTTAAATCCTCTTATCGATAGTTAGGACTGCTATTGATCAGTCTCATTTTTAAGCCTCAGAGCAACTATCAACTCTGAGATGTAAGTACATCCAGCTGACGAGTCCCGATTAGGACGAAACGTGCGTCCTCAATTTCATTGCTAGCCACTATCCATCTCTGTTTATAGTACTTGTAACCTAATAGCTATATCGAGGCAATCCGCACAGGATGCATATATGCCAAATGAGAATGACGAATAGCAGTCCTAACTATAAATGTGAGGATTCAGTCTGCCAATTCAAATGTGTCAGAACTAAGACTTGTTCAATAAATGTAGCTGATGGGCCGGAGATAATAATTCTTTAAAACTGTACGAGCTAATTTTATTTACAATCAATATTTTATTTCAGCTTCATCCATTATTCTAATACAATATTTCTTTATGTATTAGAGTTCTTATCGAGTCTCATATTAACTAATAAGTATAGATCAACTACTACTAAATGAACTTGCACACAAGTTGAAACAAGAAAATGACGAATACTTTGCAAAACAAACATGTTTTTTTATTAGACTTCAAAACTATGTATACTCACAACACTATATGCATCGAATTATATATATTGGAAAAGGTATCACAAAAATATTCATAATTAAGAATGTCAGAAAAATTTTTTTAACACAAGAAAGTATCCGTTTGAATCACATTACTCTTGTCAGCTGTTGTTAATTAACCACTAGGCGGTAGGGGCTAAAGTATACTAAATAATATTAGTATGTACATGGCAAATCAAATATTTTGTTTCTTTGTTAGATTTTTTTCAGATATTATTATTTTTAAATATTAGTGGTTTTGTATTCAGCACAGACAATGTGTACTTCTTTAGCGTATGTTCTAATTATTTATCATCAACTCTCTACTCGTGAATTGTGGCGTAAAATGTTCATTGGAACAGTAAATTATAATTTGTATGACCTTCAGTAGCTTTTTTCTACTAATCGTCATAGCGTTGCTTATGTAATCACGATAAACATTCATATGTTTCTTTCCGGTTTAGGTCAAAGCAAAGTATTACCATGACACAAATACTGCTGGACCTCAGTCTCGTCTGTTAGATGGTCTCACATGGGATGAAGCTCGACGAGTTCGTGACGAAGGTTTAGTCAAAGTATTGGGTCCAAGAGCTGCTGCTTTGGTAGCAGGTGGAGTTACTAGTGAAATGCCTGTAGCCGCTGCCAGTAAAGCAATTATTCAGCGAGATATACGAAATGCAGCAGTGATATATGATGTAAGCAGTTCGTGTGTACTTTATCTGCATTGTATCTTTATTTAATTTTTCATGGAATGTTGGACGGTTATTGACGTATATATATACTAGCACTATCTTTATTGTTTTAATTTGTTGATTCTATCACGTTTAGCTTTCTGATAGCTGTCATTTACGTTTTTGCGTTGTAAATTAAGTCGACATATTTTTTATTGTGCTCATGCGTAGTTGTTATTTCTACAAGGTCTGTAAGTTTCATTATTCATCCGTTGATTATAGGGTGGTATCCACGTAGTTTACTTAGAGTTGTGCTTGTGGACTGGCAACTTTAACCTTTTGGACAACACACCATCATTCAGTCAGTATAATTAATGAAAAACAAAGGCTTTTATGAACGTTTTTTACTTAAGTTTATCCATTTCTATAAAGCTTAACGTTAGTTATGTTTATAAAAAAAAATCAACTTCAAGTTCTTATTTTAATTGACAGGAAGACTACCTCAATCAACAAAAACAATAGTTAGATCTTGTTTCAGTTTTTTCAAGCCTATTGTGTAAATTTAATTTAGATGGCTTGTAATTATAATTCCAAACTTCCATAAGAAAGTTATATTGAAAACTTTGTATAACAACTTGAATATGAACTAGATTTACCATGATTCAGTAATCAGTCGTAGATTGTGTTTTGAACTACATTTAATGGTGAACAATATAACGATAGCACTTATTATACTGCTGATCTAGATAAATAAAGTTTGAAATATATCCATAGTCGTTTGGTAGTTAAAAATTAAGTATTTGTAATCTCTCTGTTGAACTGTTCTTCCATTTTAGTCACCTAAGTGAGTACCTATAAATGTTTGTGCATATGTGTGCACATAGCTTAAAACGTTCTCCATATTCTAATGGACAGTTTAATGATACACTCTTGTTGTTAAATTAAGGTATTTGATGTTCCTAAGCTGTAGTTAAATGTCATTTCATACTATTGGCAAAAATTTTACGTTTATTTTCTTTTCATTATTAAGTGGTTTATAATTTCATAAAATATACTGCCTGATTGAATTCTGCTTTTTGAGTGGTGTACATAATGTTCAGTTTCTTCTTTCTAACTGAATAATGATAATTTATATCTTTTTTTATTTTTACAGGGTCTTTATTCGCATCAAAATCCATTCGAGAAAATTACTGATGAAGAATTGGAAATGTATCGACGTGAAATTGAACTTAAAAACAATCCTGATTTAGTTACAGAAATGGATCGTCATCATCTTACCGGACAGAGTGCATCTTTCGAAGCTCCTAGCAATACAACACACCTTATAGATTCGTTAGCTGTCGATAGCGGTGCTACGGATCTAGAAAGTGCCAGTGAACTTGGTCCAGGTAATTATTTTTATCAGGCTTTTTTATAACATATATAGAAACCAGTTTTTCTTTTATGAACATTCATATATGAGCATAGTTTTCTCAATAGAATTCACCTATATTTGTGAAAATAAATGTCATAACAGGTGTTTACTGCAAAACATTTATCGATATTTATTCTTACTTTACTAAGTTATTCTAACAAATTTCAGTTCCTGACTTTGTTTAATTCGCTTGTACAACTTAATCGAGTAGAATACTATAATTCAATTAACCAAATAATTTCTCAATAATTTAATGTCACGGGTCAAACGAAGTTCTGAATTCTTATCAAAACTGCTTTTAAGCTGTATAAAGAATTAAGAAGTATTACGAACTAATAAGCATAATCAGTTTGGGAAATTTTTATACTACCTTATTTGATCAATTATTAGTCTTTTCGTTACCGGAAATGACTAGATATTATTCCCCCTCTCCAAAAATGATACATTTTGTTCACTAAATGTTTCTCAAAAAGGAGCATAGTACAACATTATCAGGTAATGTTGATCTTGTTGGTTATGAATTAGTTTTTGTTTGTTTTCTGAATACATTGAATTACTCAAGAACGTAAGCGTGTAAATATTTATTGGTCGTTACTTAAAGCTCCCACTTTTCTCCATTACAAACCAAGTAAATTCTCTTTTTCTTAATTTCTTGTCCTACATTTTCTATGATGACATTCAATAAATAAATAAAGTTGATATTTTAATTGTTCAATAATATTGAACGTCAACAGTTTAATGAACTATTATTTTTGATTGATTATTACATCATCGTGGAATAACCTCTCTCCATGAATACAAATTCACAATGTATCATCCCTTGCCCAACCATCGTTAAATTTGTTTAAAATTAAACATTTAAGTCAATATAAGCTTATTGCATGTACATGTGAATAATCTTAAACTTTTAATAGTGCATGCTTATAAATTTTTCTAAGTATTTCTAATTAATTAGTTGATATTTTCCATTTTGTTGCAACAAAGTCTCATATGTATGATTGAAAATTAGCATGAAAGTTGATTTTTTTTTGTAGGAGTTAATTTACATTCGATTAAAAGTTTGATGAATCAATTTGATTAACTGGTTTGCTTTTTTCATTATTGCTTTTTATAATTATCATAATTATAATGATAATCATCACCATTACATCATAGCTTCATTATTACTTGGTAATAATTATTGATTATGAATCATGCTAATCTGATGGCATATGTTTTGTTTTCTTTTTTTTTCTGTTTCTTCGTTACTCATTTGCCTGCTTGCCTGCATGTCTCCTCCTCGAACCCTTCTAATTCTTCATTGTTCTTCCTTCGTTCAATTGGAAATATGAATTTAAACTTTTACGGGTAATAACAAATTCTATTGATTGGTGTATATTTTGTCCGTGATGAAATAATTTCAGCGATTCATTCATTATCTGAATTATCTCCGTCTGTACATGATGCAAGAATTGGAGAGATTCGCCATTCGGAAACGTACCCGATTGACAGTCCAGCTACTGGTCGGTTAAAAAGATTCATACAACTATTTTTTTTTCAAACTTAGTGCTCTGTTATTTTCTAACAATTTGTTACTACTACAATTATTATTATTATTATTGTTAGTTAATAAAATTCCTTTAGTTGATTTTCACATTGAGTATCACCTATTCACATTTCTGTTACAGGTCGCTTAGCACCACCACCGACAACAGGGACACTGACATCTGAACCAAGTGGACCTGAAGATATGAGTGAAAGTGATGTAAGCCACTGATTTTCATTCGCCTTTATATACTGTTACGTGGTTTTGTTTTGTAAGGAGGAACTGCCTGAGTTTATGTATTAATAATTTTATGTTCGATTATTGTTTCTTTGTTAAGCTTGAAAAAAAGTTAGTATTTATGTCATTTCAAATATTACCCCATTTAGATAAATATGGAAGATGTTACGTTCCAGTAGAAATCGCTGAAGATGTAGTTGAGCTACTTTATATGACCTAACATTTCTACTAGATGACGAAGTTTGAATATAAAGGAAAAACAATCATTTTTTGTTGCAACAGTAAAGTTTAAACGAGTTCATATCAGCTTGTTGAAAGAGATTAACTGTCGAATCATCATCCTAATATATGCAATGTGAATACGTTCGCAACTTATGTGAAGAATTCCACATCTTTCATGTTGTTTGATCTGTACAAATGAACTTTAAGTTTTCTGTTAGTGTCTTGATATTGGTCAAGGTAATTATGTATGAGAAATCAATATTTATTAGTATGCATTGGTGATGCGTATGAAAAATATGTAATTTGTGATGTGAAGTAGTGGAGCTAAATTATATGTGTGTAGATTGTGTGCGAAATAAGTTTACATCGACACAAAATTGTGTCTATAGATTAAGTTGTGTTGATTGTGATGTTTTCTACATTGGAGTCCACTCGCGCCAAGAAACACTGAAGTTGTCACCAAATAATCTCGTATAAGCTGAAAAATTTACTAATTGAGTTGACAATAGCTGTACATGCGATCTTAATAACCACTAAATCGATATTAGAATTTTCGGAATGATCGAGGAAGGCTTTTCCTCTTATGACACAAGGTGAGTAGTCGTACCATTTCATGCAATACTAAATCCATCTGCCTTCATCCACATTTGACTTTATTCTCTTTCTACGTAATCTCTACCAGACATGATTTAACTCCACTACTTTATAAATTACAAATTTTTCTTACCCTGCATCATACACACAAATAAACACATTGATATCTCATACATACTCACCTTGACCAAAAATAAAACATGACTTGTTTAAACCTGTTATGATGATTGTTCTAAAAATATTTTACTTCGTTTCCTTGAACTTACGTCAATTCATTTCGGTTATTTATTTATTTACTCTGAAGAAGTGAGTTACATCAGGTCACGACATATCATTGAGATATCACTGAAATACAATTTTATCATTAACTTTCTACTCAATGCTCAGTCTATTTGAAATTGTCAAGTTCAACATCTGTATTGATATACACGATATCGTGATTTGGCTTTTCGACAATAAGTTGTAAACCCGAAACATCCAATAAATAATGTCTTGTATTAGACTAACGAACAGAATTAACGTGTACACTTTGTACCTATCTTAGAGCTAATATAATACAACAATATAGTTTTGGGATACTGTGACATTAGTTTTATCCAAAGCATTTTTTTAAAAGTTGTAATGTTCTAGTTTTAGAATGTTTAGTTAGTACATGTTTCAAAATCTCTGATCATACTGAGCATCTATCTACAAGTGATCTTAATAATATTCAGTAATATCTACAAACCTCTCTATGGATAATTATCACCTGTTACGAAACAGTTTTTCTTGTAAGAAGTTTTAACTACTGAAGTTCAAAGGTAGCATGTGTATTGCAATTACCTACCAAGGATAGTGTAAATTAGTCCGGGAATATCGCGAATGGATTGAGGTTAAACATATACACCGTTGGGTAATGTCTCAGTAGTTGAGGATTCCCTAGGGATTCTCCACAAAACATAAAGGTTTTGTATTCGATCCCCAATGGATTATTGGATTATGCACTAATGAAAAGTTCCATACTAATACGCAACATCTGTTTAGTGTTTCCTGATTTTCAGTAGTTATTTAACCTTATATGAACTATCAAGAATACACAAACCTGATTTTCCCACCAGACCTATCTTTTCGATGATCAGTTCTTCGCAAAGTGGTTAGCGAATTACTATTCGCTTGAAGTCATCTATCTATAGTTTGAAAGATACTTTTCAATTTACTCGGATGCTAGAATATGTTAACATCTTTGATAAGTGCATGGTTTCTTCGAATATATCATCACTACCGTAATCTTACTAGAAGAAACCATACAAATTATATGTGAACATGTTGAACTACTCACCTTACCAAAAGACGAATCCAAGCAACTTCTACTGTTGTGCGATTTCGATTCAACATTATTTTGTACCGTCAAGTCGGTGGAGCTGTCATAGACAGTCAGCTGGGTCCAATCCTGACAGGACAAATGGTAATGAAATCGGTAATTAATGACACAACATTTTCCTCGTATATCAAAACCTTCCGACAGAGCACACCGTAACATTGGATTTGCGATGGAATGCGAACTTGACATGTTTCATTCTCTTGATCTTAGCATTGAACGCAATTCAAATGGACTATTAGAAAGGAAAATCGATCGAAAGGACACTCCGAGCGGGCTATACTTGAACTTTCACAGCTGTCCAATAAGCTGCAGAAGAGCTCTGATTAGAAGGTTATTCAACCGTGTACGAAGATTATGTTCTGAGGATAGAATTGAGAAAGAATTGCCCATAGTTAAACGATGCTTACGTAATAACGATTATCCACGAAGAAATTTATGAGTAAATATGATAAGACCAGAGAAAAGTAAGTGGAATATCTGCGTCTCCAAATATGTTCCATAAAAGTTGAAACTAAACGGATAAAACGTTTACAACGGCATAATTGCTCATTAGTTGCTGGACGGTGTTAATGACGGTGATGTTCCTAAATTTCTCAAAATAATCAAAATCAAGAAATCCAGGATTCTTTTCAACGAATTTATTATCGAAATGTGCAACTTTATATATCTATATAAGTGTAATATATATATGAAACTTTATCAGTGATAATTCCGTTGTTACGCGTTCTCGAGGCTGTTGCAATAAAAAGATTCAAACTGAACTTGTGTATACAAAAAGAAACAGTAATCAATCTCGTTTCTCCCTGGTGGTCTTAACATTTTTTCTGTTTATCATGTAAGACTGTTTCTTTTTGTTTCCATACTTTAATTCGTACTTCTGGGCATTACTGAACTATTCTATATTATGTGATCTAATTTCTGTTTCAAAAGTGTTTTTGTTTCGACGCTTTTATAGGATATCCACATATCTAACTTATAAATATTTGAACAATTTTAATTCTTCTGCATTATCATCTCTTAACTTTAGTCTATCTCCACATTTATTTAACTCAGGTTATTCTTGTTATTTCCAACATGAACTATGTACATTTGTTTCATTTTAATGATTAGTACTATTATTTTAGGTTGTTAGCAGCTGAGCAGAATCTATGAAATAAATAGATTCATGTTATTCTGCTAAGATTTTTCTTCTTTATTTATGTTTGCAAATCCGAAAAATCCAGGGACTTGAACGGACCGTTCCATCGCTGTGTGCTTATATTGGTATGACAGCTTGAACTGATATACGTACGTACAAAGGTCTACGTTGTAGTTGACTGACTGACTGACATGAGAAAAATTGCATGAAATTAATTTAGATCTGTTAGTAAGATTAGTAACATTGAATTTCCAAATTGCGTTCACCTCTTATTTGTTTATTCCTTTTAATGCCGTAACTCTTGTAATCTGATTTATTTTTTTTTCTATCAGAGTTATATTTAAAATTATTACCTTTTGTATTTATTTACAGGGTAAACATAAAAAGAAAAAACGACGTTTCAAACTTCCTTCATTCTCTCTAAAATCCAAAGATAAATCAAAGAGTAAATGATATACTATCTCACTTGATGTATGACATAACTACTACCAGTTCATTTTCATTACGGTTGAGAATTTTTACATCACATCGTTGTTATGCCTAGTAGATGAGATAGATACATAAATGTAGTAATTTTACTTACACAAGCTGCAAACACACACTGACACATGCACATTTGAGAAATCATTCCTCCATTATATTCAACCTTCCTAAAACCTTAACACGACATTTTCCAAATGTGATGTGGAGTGTGAGATAGTGTCTTAAATTTCCACATGATTTCTTTATACAAACTATTCAATTGTAAAGTGATGATCACCAGGATACTACGTTGATTTTAAACGATACATATATATGTAATAATAACTAACTCTTATTGATTTGCAGTCACAAGCATATAAATGTCTATGTGTGTGTGTACACATTAAAAATAATAATTGGATTCATTTAATTCACTATCACTATGTGTTTTCGATTGTGATTCAAATCTTTTCTACATCGAATAAAAGTTCCACAAGTCAATGGAACAAATAATGAAAAGCTATCCTTACTCTAGTGAATCTTTTTCTAAATTCATTTGTTCAATAATATTGTTATTGCTTCAGCTAATTAATATGCTTCGCTTTCCCTCGAAAAAAAAACACACACTAGTATATGATTTTGAAAGTGATTTTCAATGCATGAACACTTTATGTTTGGATGTTGTGTTGATTTACTTCCTACCCGGCAAACGTAAAATTTTAAAAATTATATATAGAGTATTATTCTATTATTTTTTCGACTATCTTTAGTGTTGTCATGATCCACCTTTTTTTAAAAAAAAAAATCTTTTCTTAATCCTTGCACTATGCTATTCTGTCCGTATTTTCATGTACACTCGGCTGTCAGTGAGTTGGTAACTACGAGTACCTGTTTTTTTTACGATTAAGATGAATCAGACAAAAAACTGTGTATTTGTAACATTTATGTTTTTGTTTTCATTTGGGAGGATGCAATGGTTTCTATGTTTAACAATTGACGTATATGCTTTTTATCATCCATTGATGTCAGTTGCCTTATGTTATTCAATGACATTGTTTCTCTTTCGCGTCATTTTCTTTTTACTTGTATAGTTGTTGAACATTTTCAAGTTTATTAATTATGAACGTGTTTTTACGCTTGCTACTTAGTTATTCATACGCTTACTTTTATACTTTTTTTTTAAAGTAAATATACCATCTACCACTAAATCATATTACATAAATAAGCTTTTCTATAAAAACATCCCTTTCTCTGTGCTTCTGCTTAACCCGAAATCCTAATTTTCACTTATTTGTTTTTCATCTTTTACGCCAAATAACTTCTCATTTGTTGTTTTTGCAATTTTTTTATCCCTTTTAACCTGAGACCATGAAATTATGCTACTAATATACATATACATTTGATGAATAACCAAGTTTTCTGTTCTTTACCATTTTCTTAAATATTCGTTCGCTTTCTTTATAGGGACTTATTTTCTACTACTGCATCCTAGCCTCTGGATAATCATAAATTGTAGTAAATACTATTTTGTTAGTGTAAATTTGTCTTTAAATTTCAATATAGCGCTTGAATTTCTCTTTATGATAGATACCCAGCCAACACTATTTCTGTTAGACACAACTCAAACTTTGAATACGTAATCAGCCTGGTCAGAAGTGTACTAGACAACAATTTATATTATAATACAAAGGGTAGGGAAATATTCATGACACATTGATTACTTGTCGGACTTCCAGCCAAAATCGTCTAGGTAAATAACTAGTCACAATTTTCTTTCGTCCAAACACATTCCTCAAAAAGCTTGATCGTATTACTTTGTTCTCGGGTTCTTTTGAGAAAATCTCGTTCGTTTCCCTCCCCTCAACAGCTTTCAGTTTGTCTCTTCGCATTTCAACTAGTGGTGGTGGTGGAATATCAAACGTCTCGTATAATATTTAGATTGTTGAAGACTTAGCATTTAACGAAAAAACTATTTTCCCTATCTCGCAGTTGGATTGTGTTCAATACTTTTCGGACAATTTCCTTCCATATTTTTTGTAGTCCACTCATTTTATCCATTGGATTCAAAACATCAAAAAACGTTCTACTTCGTCTTTATCGTAGCAACTGCCAACATTGTTTATTTCAATATTACAGACTTTTTTGAATATGCTCAAGCTATTCATAATCTAAGATGTATACTATAAGCTTAAAAAGGCTTTTGAGTGGTTCAGTAATAAATGCCTAGGTTTATCCGCTATGGTTGTTTTATTGTTTTTATGTTTTGTTTTAAAGTAAATGAGCTCAAAGCAGATGTACGTTTGTTGGAAACACTATCATCCTTGTTTCCTTTACCTAAAAGATTCATTCGATGTATGTTTTCGCTTCCCCACTAAGATTATATGATCAATAGTAGCACATTAGTTTAAATGATTTTTTTAATATCTATCGAATGTCAATTTGTTTTTGTAAAGAAAACAAACTAGAGAATTAAGCTATATAAGCTTTCGTTTTTGCTTATGTGTTCTTTAAAGCGTTTTGTGTTCCGGTGTTGGTTCATAAAAATTTTCAACTTTTGTACATGTGACTCATTTATTAGGTGAACTCGTACGATATGGCTAGAAATCAGATCCATTTTCTGTTACATGTTTTTTCTTTGTATGTGAATGTGTTCTTTAATGATTGTTTTTTACATATCAATCATTACATTTTCTTTGGTTTATTTAGTGTCCTGTGGATTTCAATTTTTCATTAAAAATGTCTTCATCATTCCAGTCTACAGATCTTTAAATCAGTACTTTCATACACTTGATTACTTATCAACTTTTCTTGGTGAGACAAATTTACGATCGCTAAAGTGACGTTGATAAAACTCAGTTAACTAGAGTCAATAGAAGTTGGTTAGAAATTTGAGCTAGAGTTTTCACGATCTGACATGAATTATGATGCCGAAATACTAATCGTATGGATGAATGAATTTTCCACCAAAATTCAATATTCGCTCTCTTTGATTTTATATTAGTCCATCCGTAATTCGTAGTCTCACCCTTTTTTTAATAGAGCTTTACTTACTTACTTACTTACTTACTTACGCCTGTTACCCCCAATGGAGCATAGGCCGCCCACCAGTTTTCTCCAACCAACTCTGTCCTGGGCTTCCCTCTCCAGTTCTGTCCAATGTTTGTTCATTCCTCTCATACCTTTCTCTATTTCTCGGCGTAGTGTGTTCCTTGGCCTTCCTCTTTTCCTTTTGCCTTGAGGGTTCCATGTGAGGGCTTGTCTCGTGACGCAGTTGAGTGCTTTTCGTAGTGTGTGTCCTATCCACTTCCACCGCTTCTTCCTGATTTCCTCCTCCACTGGAATCTGGTTTGTACTCTCCCATAGTACGTTGTTGCTGATGGTGTCTGGCCAACGAATACGAAGTATTTTGCGTAGACAGCTGTTAATAAACACTTGTATCTTCTGAATGATGGCTTTGGTAGTTCTCCATGTTTCCGCTCCATACAGTAGAACTGTCTTGACATTTGTATTGAAAATCTTGATTTTGGTTTTGTTTGAAAGTTGTTTGGAGTTCCAGATATTTTTCAACTGTAGAAATGCAACCCTCGCTTTGCCAATCCGCGCCCTCACATCTGCATCCGATCCACCTTTCTCGTCGATGATGCTGCCCATATATGTAAAGTTGTTAACGTCCTCGAAAGCATCTCCATCAAGCGTGATTTGGTCGGTGCATGTTGTGTTGCATCGGAGAATTTTGCTTTTTCCTTTATGTATGTTGAGACCTACTGCTGCAGAGGCTGCTGCTACACTGGTTGTCTTCTCTTGCATTTGTTGTTGAGTGTGCGATAGAAGAGCCAAGTCATCTGCGAAGTCCAGATCGTCCAGCTGCGTCCTAACTGTCCAGTTGATACCGTGCTTCCCTCCAGATGTTGACGTCTTCATGATCCAGTCGATGACCAGGAGAAAGAGAAAGGGTGAGAGTAAGTAACCTTGCCTCACACCGGTCTTCACCTCGACAGAGTCTCTCAGCCGACCTCCGTGTACGATTTTGCAGTTGAATCCATCATAAGAATTCCGTATGATGTTGACTATTTTCTCAGGCACACCGTAGTGTCGAAGAAGCCTCCACAGTGTTTTCCTATCCACGCTATCGAATGCTTTCTCGTTGTCGATGAAGTTGATGTAGAGTGGTGAGTTCCATTCAATTGATTGTTCCACAATGATCCGTAATGTAGCAATTTGGTCAGTACATGATCGATCCTTACGAAATCCGGCCTGTTGATCTCAAGTTGGGCGTCTACGAAGTCCTTCATTCTGTTTAACAATACTCTGTTGAAGACTTTGCCTGGTATTGAAAGAAGAGTGATGCCTCTGTAGTTTTCACACTTGCTGAGATCGCCTTTTTTGGTATTTTGATGAGGTATCCTTCTTTCCAATCTGATGGTACTTGTTCCTCATCCCAAATCTTCTTGAAGAGAATGTGAAATATTTTCGCAGTTGCTTCCACATCTGCTTTGATTGCCTTTGCTGGAATGTTGTCTGGTCCTGCTGCTTTGCCGCTCTTGATTTGTCTGATGGCTGTACTGATCTCCTCAATCGTAGGTGCGCCAATATTAATTGGGAGTTCCTTGGATGCTGCTTCGATGTTGGGTGGGTTCAGTGAAGCTGGTCGATTCAATAGTTCCTTAAAGTGCTCCACCCACCTATTTCGCTGTTCGTCAGTGTTGCTGATTATTTTCCCTTCCTTGCTTTTCACTGGTCGTTCTGGTTTACGATAGTTTCCGGCCAGCTTCTTTGTTGTTTCGTACAATTGTCTCAAGTTTCCTTCTCTTGCAGCCTTTTCGCCGTCATTGCTAGATCTTCCACATATTTTCGTTTGTCAGCTCTGATGCTCTTCTTCACTTCCCTGTTTGCTTCTGTATACTCGGCTTGCGCCTTAACTTTCTCTGCTCTTGTTCGGCTGACATTCACTGCTGCCTTCTTGATCCTCCTTTCTTGAATTTTTTCAAGAG